TCCCCCCCCCCCCCCGCCCCCCGGATCTGGTCCTTAATCCAGTTTGTGGCGTACGTCCATAATTTGGCTCCGCGAGTCCTCTTGCCTCCTTGCGTGATAGGAACCTCACGAGCGCACTCGTCCCCACCGTGCACTTCTTCTACCGATCGCTCCACACACGCCATCCACCCATCACGCCGAAGTCAGACTGATTCGAGGGGGGGGGGGATTCCGGCGCTACACGTATTCATTGTTTCCAATCCCATGCCACCTTTCACATCTGACAGCTCTCTCTCTCTCTCTCTCTCTCTCTCTCTCTCTCTCTCTCTCTCTCTCTCTCTCTCTGTCTGTCTTTCTTGGTGAAAACAAAGCACAATCGCACCTGCAAGCCCTCACGGATCATGGCTGCCCACAGCAGCCGGGCGTGTCGATCCCGCACAAGGTCTCGCAGCGGGCCCCCAGCCAGCGCCGCGGCAGCATGCACGGTGTTGAAGATGACAACACCGTGCGTGTAGGCTGTCGTAGATGGTTAGTAGTCAAGGGCGACGGACGGCTTTCGTCATTGTCGTGGCTGGGGGGGGGGGCGGGGGGGGGATGCGGCATGATTTGGTGTGGCGACGAATCCAGTTTTCTTGCTCTGCGTACAATGAAGTGCCACGCGTACTGTAACGTACCACGGCAGTAGACGTGAATACCTACGGTGGCAGGTCAAGCACAGCACATCAACGCCAGGTAGCCGCAATATGGTAGCCTTTCGGAATGGAAGAGAGCAGGTGTGACCTTAACGTGTGCTGTATAGCGGCAAGCTGGTGGACACGGGCGCTAAATGCAAGAGGACGAAATTCCTGCCGACGAAGAAAGACCACTAAGCACCCAGCAGCAAAAAACATGCGTCGCGGACTGCATCCCTCGCGCATGTCCGGCGGCATCATGCGGAGACAACAGCAGCAACGACCCGAGCAACAGGGCCGACGACGGCAACAGCAAAACAACAACGACACTCACATCTGACGTTCTTGCAGTGCAGCACGGGGATCCCGCCGCTTCGCAAGAGGTTGACGAACTTCACTCCGCGCTTTGACTGCTGTTTGGTCAGCCGCTCCAGCACCAGAGATCCCCCCCCCAAGCATCGTAGGTGGCCGTCTACGGGGCTCCTTGCTACGCTGATCCCTACTGCCCCCCCCAAGAACACGAGGTTGTGGTTGCCCAAGCTGTACGCGTGAACGGCGGTGGGCGGGGGCGGGGGAAGAGGCTGTTGGTGTTGTTATTTACATCACGCTAGCTCATGTCAGGGTTGTCGTTGCCGTTGTTGATTATTGTCGGTGTTATTAATACGTCTCAAACGGGCACGCCTCAAAATAGGGGCCTGCGCAATCAAGCCAAGGCGCCGTTTGCGTAAACGCGTTCAGAACCGTCAGAACGAAAACCTCAGACGACGGGTTATTGTTCGCACAGCTACCGGGGAGCCCAACGCTGAGCATTGAGGAATTTAGCACAACCAAACGATGCAAGAACGACACCTCACGTGTGTAACACGTTCCTTTACGATCATGTAAATCGAGCCCTTCAAGGATAGTTTGTCGAATAGTAACGTGACGGGGGAGAGAAACAATGCTACGAGATCTCCCCGTCGATGGTGGAAGGCCTAAACAGCACGGCCACGCACGACATCGGGCACGGCCTAACCCCCCACGAGCCCAACCCTTTGTCATGCTTTGGCAACTCTGTGGTGGCTCACTGCTCCTCGACCGCCATGTGGTTCTTGATTCCGAGGTCGAAGCTGATGATGGCCTTGTCGCTGCCCCTCTCCACTGCCGATGACAGGGCCAGGGCGCACGCCGACGTGTCCGCGGGGTCCACGCAGATGAAGATCACGTTGCACTTCGACAGCGACTCCCAAGTGTCACGAAAACACTCTGCATGCTGTTTGTTGGTGTGTTGTTGTAGCGTGTGTTTTTGGCAAACATTCACGGGAGGTAAGAAACATTATATGGCACGTAGATATTCGGTTGGTGGGGTGTGTTGGTATTTCGTTAACGAGTATCTCGAGCGAGGCAGGGTCGCAACCTCTACGGCTTCGGCGGCTAAAGCTCGTCGTCGTCATGTTGCACCAAGACAAGAGGCTCAACGCTCTCACCCACGAGGTCGAAACGCTCCCCTCACAAACCAACGTGGTGTTTACTCAAAACCACGCAACTCACCAAAGATGAAACTGCAAGTACCGAGACACGACGTACGGGACACCGAAAACGCCGACCACAATCTACATGGCCGTTTCGGTTGAGCCTGAATGCACCACCATGACAAAATACAGTGTGGGAACGGTTACTTTTGGAGTCGTGTCGGCAATCATAGCCGCTATCACGTTGATCAGCCAGTGTGCTGACCTGCTGTGCTGGCATCGTATGACCGATTGCCAACCAGCCTTCCAAGTGTGCGACATAGCTGCGTCTGGTGACATTTGTCCCCAAAGCTATGTCTCACCTTTCAACTCTGTCTCCCCCCCCCCGCTCCCAATCTCTTACACAGCAGTCGTGACCTTACGTTGGGATACTTGGGCTTGTCGCCGGCGTAAGGCACCACCAAAAACCTCCCGCTCTGTTTTCGCTGCTGCCGCTGCTGCGGTGGGACACCACCGACATCGTCCGCATCGCCATGCGCCTTGTTCGAGCTTCTGGGTGTTTTTTTGTCGCCGTCAAAGCCTACGATGCGCACGTCGGAGTATCCTGCGCGTGTGGGTGTCGTTGTAAAGATGGAGGGTGCGCACGGGGTCGGGTCAGTTCTTGAACGCGTAGCCTACAACAGTAGCAACAGCCCGCCCCCAAACGGCGAACGATTGGCCCCGTCGAGTGGATGAGAGAAGGACCATGAAAGACGCAAGACTAAAGTAGACAAGCCGCACCAGCAAACAACGTGTACGTGTTTCGTATCCACGCATACATGCGCATTGTGCCGGGTGATCCCGCAAGCAGAGATGAAAAAAAGTTGTTGTAATAATATTGCGCGCATTGTGCGGGGTGTGCAACAATTATGTTGCAGAGGCGTAGCATCAGTGCCCAGCAGTGCGCAACACGTAGTGTATGTATCGAGCAGTACTGAGTCTCGAATGTCTGCTGTGACTGCTGTACAGCAGCATTGCTCCGCACAACCTGCTCTCCTTTGTTCCACTTCAACGGCGCTCACCTCCCAACTGCAGACAAACACCCAAAGTAAATTGCCAGATCTTCCCCAGCTGACGTGCTCTTGGACGAGGCAGAGTGAACGACGGCCACCAAAGGCTTCCTCCGCAAGGCCATCCTCCATGCACAGCACGTCAACTCCAACTATGTATTAACCGTTGTCCCGTGTGTTGTTGGTGTTGTTTGTGGTGCCGAATGCGGCACAATAACCAGGCTCCGGGAGTGACATGTGCCCTGGTTGGCTTTCGTGTGGCGACGGTTGCATTTGTGGCACGCAGTTCGCTGATTGGTCAAAGCACCTGCGGCGGAATTTCAAAGTTTCCAAAGAATACAGGCACGACCCAAGATTCTTGTTTGGCGGGTGGCGTTATCCACGGTGAAATCGAGGATGGCACCTCAGGAAATCTTGGGAACATCGTGTCTTCTGATGATGATCTTTCTGCCTACGGCCGTTCAATGTTTTCTTCGCAGCAGCGATTGAGGTCGTATGTAAGCCACTGCTGGAACAAGTGCGGCGGGCGGTATGGGGAATGTTGCACGCCGACGGCAAGCGGGAGTCGTAGCGAAATCATCCGAAGGGTTGGCGAAGATGATGATGATGGCCGTTACTGCAGAAGCTTTTTTTGTTAGGCCTTTGGTCTGACGACGTCAGAGAAAACAGAGACTCTACGGATGCGGGTACTGGAATACCAACCGAAGCAGCCAATAATCAGCCGAAGAAAGGGGAACCAACGTTAGCACGGACAGTTCTGTACAGCCGTCTTGTGCACCACCAGCTGTACCGGGGACACCGTTTCATTCGAAGAACCTCCAAATAGATGTGTAACGGCGGACTGTACAAACAAGGGCGCGGAGTGACCCGCTGGGAAGAAGAAGCTCAATCAAGCATATGCTGCGGACTACAACCGAACGAAGACGACCCTAGCTTCATGTATGTGCAACAACCACGATGTCCTTCTGCCTTCAGAACGAGGGAGTTGCATCTCGCCGGCGACTGTCACCCGTAGTAGCTGACACATTCATTTATTGTAGTAGAACATTATCGAATGGTTCGCATTTGGTTGCGGACATGCAACAACGAACGAGGGGCAGACGGAAAAGACTGCTGCTGCGTGGGGCCATACACCTCTGTATGTCAACACAAAGGACAAAACAGGAGTCCAGGATCAATGTCGTCACCAGAATGCGCCCGCGCCACCTCGATGGTGGCCATAGCCATCACCATAACCACCAGCAGATGCGTTCTGTTCGCATCTCGTAGGTCTTGACCATGACCTGCTTGTTCTGCCTTGATTGTAAGAGGGTTCCATCTCGCCACCGACCGTCGCCACCCTGGCTGGGAGAGGGACGTTGGTCAGGACAGACCCTGTGATGGCAGAAAGGGGCTTGGCCAAGATCATGGGGTCTCGAGTTGTGTGGCGTTTTGTGGCGGCGCTCATGTCCTTGGCCCTTTCCCGAGCGCTCTGGGAAAGAGGACCGAAAAACTCTTCACGGACCCCGGAACGCAGTTGTCGAGCGAGAGTCTCCACTTCCTTTTTCAGGGAGGCTTTCTGTGCGAACAAGAGGAGCCGGTTGACAACGAGACGGTCACGTCAGCCTTTTGAGTATCGAGTGAGCGGATTGTAGGGTTGGCAGGGAAGCTTTCCGGAAAAATTGTCCTCGAAACAAATGGGTTCAGGACATGCTTCGAGACTGGAATCATTTTAGACGAACACGCACCTCTTTTCTGCCCCTCCTGTCACACCGTTTCTTGGCCACCAGATCCACACCTATCCTGTTTCTCGCCCGACTTTCGCACCCAGTCGATGTTCGGGGCCGTGCGCGGGAGAAATCGTTTTCTCCACCATTTCTTGCCCCTGCGACCCTCTCCTCCCCAGCTGTCAGCAACGCGGCCGCCGATGCTGACATGGCCGGCCCTTTTCGCCGCGCTGAGGCTACCGCAGCAACAACCGCTGGGGTGTTCTCGATGGTATGCGTAGGAACCAAAGCCACCGAGGAGAGCGTGGTCGTGTCGGTGACGACCTTCGCCCCCTGGTGGTGTCTCAGGCCACCACCACCTGTGATGGCCCATTCCCTCGCCTTGCCCCGTCCATACTTGGGGTTTGTCGGCTGCCCGTTTGCTGTTACACCTGGTGGTCCGGCTGTGTGGACTTTTCTTCGGCGAGGATCGTGATCGCTCTGGCCGCCGCCACCACCACCGGTGGGCAAAGACGGGACATGTGTTGTTAGTGACCGCAGCGGCTGCTGAGTGGAAGCAAATACGCACCAGGAGATAGGGAGGTGGAAAGGGTGGAACAGGACGGACTAAAGTTGCCGCAGATAGGGAGGGAGAGGGTTGAAGCATCCGGTGAAGGGCGTATTCTACGTAAGTACCGGAAGCGCCTCCCCTACCAGCGCTGTGCGCCACCATTTGGTCCGTGCGTTGGACGAGTCTCGCAGACGCGGACGTTGACAGAACAGTACTATCATTAGTCGTGAGGCAAAAAACAGTGTGGTATAATTGAGCGATCATCGAAAGCGAAAACGACTGTAAACACGAACAAAACGTGAAACCAGGACAGTGGACCTCCTGCAGTACACACGCACCTGAGCGTCGAGTTCTGCCAGCTGCTGGAGCAGTGTTCGGTTCACCTCGTACAGTCGGCCCCGCTCACGGCGATAGCGTTTGACGAGCACAGCCATCTCGGCCATCAGAATCTCGTGAGATCGCGACTTCAAAGCCATTTGGGCACGGTCACGCTGAGCCTGAATGAGGTGATTCGAAACAGAACGAGGGAGGAAAGCGTGTGCAAACCCGCACAATCCGTAAATCTCCCCACGAAGCCTACACGCTCGCGCACTCCCCCCCTTTCCCTCTCCGACTAAGGACTGATTCAAACGTAGATCGCACGCCAGAAAGAAGAATTCTGGCCAGAGTACGAACATGGAAGCGATGCCCCCCCCCAGCAAGCACGGGTATCGCAAACCTGCGTCTCGGCTTCGGCGAGTTGCCATTTGATGTACTGTTGTAGTTTCTTTGCTCGCTGCTTCCACTTGCCGCCGTCCCCGCAATCCACTGCGCCACCAGCTGTGCCACTGTCACCGTTGAGGCCATTGGATTCGCTGTCGTTGATGGAAATGTCAGCGAGGTTCTCGAACTCGGCTTTGAATTGTGCGAGCCTCTGTATGTCGTACTCCAAGCTGGCCTTTTCCTAGATGCAGAAGGGTAAGATTGTACAGCAAGTAGAATACGATGGTTGGACGATACACACGCACGAAGAATTTTGTGGGTGGCACCGGAATTGCACCACAACGTCCAAGGCAATCGATTTTTTGGGTTACTTTTCTTGTGGTTCTGATATTTGTTGTGGTATTGCCGACTGCCACCTTCACGTTGTTGTTGCTTGGGTTTGTTTGAATACTGCTACTTTCGGCTACAGTTCGAACAAGGGGTTGATTCTGATGTATGTGTGAAATGCATATGAGGGGAAAGATTGGTGTCGATTGTCAGCCACGACGACGATGATTTTGATCGATGACAACGGTTATATCGAAAGGGTCGATCGCTGAAACGTTGAACTCCCGAATAGGCAAGACAACGATCGGCTGTAGGTTTGGCACCACGTTTCGTTTCGGCGGTGGAAAGTTAGGTTGGAACCGAGGTCACCTGCTGGTGCTGCCGCTCCAAACCAGCAATCTTTCGCTCGAACGATACCCTCTCGGCTTCAACCTGTACCAGCGGGACGCTTTCATCTTGCGCCTTTGCGGCGGCCTTTTCCATTTGTCGGTGTTGGTATATCCGCCAGAGAATGCGTGTCACCAGGAGAGAGCATGGAACGGGAATGGGAGCGTTGCCTTATTGAGGATAGAGCGGCATAATTTGTTGACGGTCAGTTCTTAGGGTGTCACAATCAAGCTGGTGACGGCGGCAGTGGGCAGGCCGCGCACATGTTCAGCACGGCAACAAGCGATCTGTTCTGAAGCACTTGAGGTCTGACACAATATCCAGCGCCATCGAAGTGACGGGCAGGGTATCTGATACAGGATTGATGCTGAACATCATCAAGTCTGGGGTGCGATACCGGCACTAAGCCCAGAGTAGATAATTGAGTCTTCCTCGTGAACGAACTCATTCTCCACCTGGACACGTGGCTGGAGTGAAGAAGTAGGTTTTTCAACAAGGGTGCGGCTGGCTGCTGGTAGATATACTATTATAGTGCAACAAACAAGAACATGAAGTTCCATCCCAGTCGAACGTACCTCAGTCATCATAACCTTGTCATTCTGGAGCGCGGCCACTGTCCCCCTGAGGCGTGATACCTCGGCCGCCTCCAGCTCGAGTCGCTCCCGAAGGATCTGGAGGTCGTTCGATACGCCACCTATGTTGAGCTTCAGGGTCGTCCGCTCGATCGCCTCGAGTCGTCGTCGGAGGAAGCTGTTCTCATCCGATTCCACCTGCGACAATCAAACAAGAGAGGTAACTTCTTGTATCTAGACTAAATCGAACAGACTACATGGCGTTGCTTCGTGGAAATAAAACTACAGACATACGGCAGAGGCTCCAGACTGGTTTGAGTGGAAAAGTAAAAACGGTTGGAAAGTGACAGCAGTGAGAGCACCTGCATTTTGGCGATCTTCGACTCGAGATCTCTCCGAACTTCTTTGAGGTTTTCGACTTCGAATTTAATTGAGGCGAACCTCCTGTCGGCGAGCGTCTCTTCTCCGGCGTTTGGGGTCCCCCCGCTGGTGTACGCGCGTTCTTTGCCACCGTCGTCGTTCCTTGCATCAAAGGAAATGAGGAGAAGGCAGCGAAGATCTCTTTCATTCTACAACACACCACGAAGGCTTCCCGCAGTGGCGTGTGCGTGAGTAGCGTTTGCGTGGTTCGGCTAGATGCTGTCAGCCTTGACCCCTCGTTTCCTAGGTCCAACATGATACAGCACAAAATGGCTGAAAAAGTATTGACACAGGCGACGAACTATTTGTAGTGGAATGTGAGGGAAGTAATCGAGTTCGCCAGCGACGTGTTCGGGCTGAAAAGGGGAAACACCCCCTCCCCGCCCCGTGCACCGGAAGTCGTCCATGTCCGAGCGGAGCCCAGCAGCCCCCGCCACGGGAGCCCTCCTCTCGTCTTCGAGCGCCGAGATCTACATCGGCCGGTGTTTACGGACAGGGAGGAGAGCCAAGGGGGGGGCACGCAGGAGAACGCGTGTATTGGCTCTTGGAGGGAGCACAAGCAGGGGATGTACTAAAGCAAAGGTCAACAAATAGCGTGGCGCACCGCGTGAGCGTCCGTTGCCAGCCTGTGGCATGTGTCACTTAATCGGTAGAAGCATGTGGATACCAAAATGTAGACGAGAATCAAGATCCCCCGAGAACTCGCGTTGACCAATGCCGAACGACTGTTTCTGTACTACTTCGAAGTGGGTTGAGCCCGCCCCCACTGTTCTATAGGCAATGAGCCAAAGCTGTAGTTTCGAACAACTTAGTGTCGCTTTTGGGAGTATCAACAAGGCAGTGCGGTGGTCCCCAAACGCGATCTAACAAGGTGTGGTCTGCACTAAGAAGGAATGAAGACGTGCAACACCCAATCGATGGGTGTCGAACTTACGGTAGCGGGTCGCACTGACCAACAAAATAAGTAAGCCGAAGACCATACAGACAAGCGTCGAGTGTGTGCTCGCTCGCCCCTGGGAACATGAAAAGAGATAACCATGTATACCTGAACGAAAGGAGGCGTGAAATTGAGCGCCGTTATGCCCTTCCGAAGTAGACCAAATCATTAGACTACGCCATTTCGAAAAATCGAGGAGGCCTTGAAGAAACCAGATAATCTGTACCTAGTTGGGTAGACTTTTGACTGCCTTCGTCCTATTGTTTGGGGAGAACTGCAAGTTAAGGAGTGGTTGTCGCCTTTCAGTACCTGCCGTTTCAGCTTGGACACGAGCTCTCGATCCTCGGCACTGTCGTTGTCGTCGACCGGATACTCCTCCTGCTCCCCCTCCTGGCGGCGAACAAGCATCCAATTAGTCGACGCGGGCGGCAGGTGAATTGGCGTTTATAGTTCGCGGTAGAGGAAGGTGTGTCGACCATTAAGTATTGTCTACTCTACGGACAGAAGCGACGTTTCAACAAAGCAACGTACAGGTGCAAGTGATCACACACCCCGAGGGCTACGAGGGGATAGCCCGACACATCATATGATTCGTATCCATGCCTCTTGGTCGAGTTTACCGAGATGCATCCAACACCACAGGAGAGGTTCGATTTGGAGTACCGGTGATGGAAGACAGACTACAGTCGGAGAGAGCAAGCGAGAACGGTGACCAGCCTTGTTTTTGGAAGGCACAGTTGTGTTTGGGTGGCACACTATAATATTCAGTTTGAGCCGTGGCTGCCCCGGTACCTTAGTTGTGTTGCGAGGAGGGGGGAGAGGAATGAAGAGATAGTGGAATTTCCATCTTGCCCGAGAAGCTTCAGCTACACTTGCCCCCGTGGTAAAGCAGGGCATGGACAAGCATCCGCACACAACAAGCAACGGGACTGTCGCCGTGCAAAGAAGAACACACCCGCGAGGCGGGAAGCCTGGAAAATTCCATCTCCTGGGACGTCGACACCAAACTGAATGGCACTCACACGTCTTATCTTCATTGGTCCCTCTCGGTTGTCGCGTAATGATGCTAGATGAAGAATAAAAGACAGATAGACACACCCACCTGGTGCTCTTCAGGCGGATTTTGGACCACCCACTGGCCCATCTCTTTCGCCTTGCGGAGGGCGACGGTGTCCTGCTGCTGTGCGGGCCCTGCCCGTGGTTCGCGGCCGGCCCCTGCTAGCTGGCGGGTGCTGAAGCGAATCGCCCCGACCACGGCGCCGGCGGCGTGCCGAAATGATGGGGCGCCTCCGGCCACGGCAGCGGCGTTTCCGATTGGGTGGTCGCGCAGCGTTGTCTCGGCTTCCCGAACGGCCGCGGCGTCCCTTATCCTGACTTGTCCTTCCGACGAGGCAGCTTGCGCCAGGTCGGTCGTCATCACGGTGTTGATTTTCCGTAGCTCGTTCGTCTGCGTTGACCGCGGCAGGGGAGGGCATAGGAACGGCGGCAGCAGGGCGTAGTGGGAGAGAGATACACGAATGTAAGAGAAGCGAGTGGCTACAACTCGTGGTGCGTCAATATTCTCACCAACATGATACATACTTCACTGCTTGCGTCAGCGCGGAGGGTGGGTGTGTGGGTGCTGAGCAGGCCTCGGCTTAAAGAAAAGCTGCATGAAAACCTTGTGAACACCAGCAGAGTGTTTCGTTGATCTACTACCACCTCCTGTTTTTGTCGAGGTGAGCGGAAACAATGCCAACCTGATCTTGTTTACACTAGGGACCTGCCTTTCCGCGAGTGGTGGGACGTTTCGCATACAACATGTGTACACGCAACCTCAAGTTAACTTGTGACAACGGGGAACAGTACGAAAACGAAAGAAGAGGAACCGCGGAATGATCAGACCGGTTCATGTGGTGCGAAGAAAATGACAACATTCGACAACGACATTTCATTTCTATCCCTCGGTCGTGGTTTCAAAAGAAGTGTCAGACGAAGGGTTTGGATGTCAAAACCAAAACGATTCATTTGCGAAATCTGGCCAACGCGGCAATTGGAGGGGGAATGCAGGGTGCTGGATGCACGTAGTGCCTTTGTAAGACATCGCGCGACGAGTGTCAACCTCTTCAATAAGGCAGCAGGTATGTGTGAGGTGAGACCTGTTGTCTTTGCATCGAACGGGCGTAAGAAGAATATAGGTGCGTGGTGCTTCAGGATGAAGAGCTCCGCGTGTCAGGGTACGCGGTCAACAGAATCCACCTCTGCCCCAATGTTACTTTCGACTCATTTCGGTAGCTTGACGCTTCTCCACACAATTGTTTCGCCATTTCAAGGGTGAATCGGTTTTGACTCTTGCCCTCTTTCCTGTTGTGAAGAACACACGCCGCATGTATCGGCTCAGTGGGTATGAGGGAGGCGGCCGCTCAAGGCATGTACTGCTGCTCCTACCTCCATCCTAGATTGCACCAGCTGGGCCTGCACGTTTTTCAGGTCTTCGTGCAGCTTCGGTATCACTTGCTCCATCATCGCCAGGCGAGCGTTTGCCGCCTCCCGGTTCTTGATCTCGTCAGCAAGTTCTTCCTGACGGGAGGTGTGTTCGGGAGGGGAGGGAAGCGGAGTTCCTTGGACTGGTCCAATGCATGACATGTTCTGCAGACACCTCCAAGGTTTTCCTACTTGTCTCTTGCCTTGGTCAATAGATCATTGACGGCACGTTAACTGCGATAAATACGGGAGGGGGGCGGCTATTCCACAAAATTCAAATGCCGAACTCCCAGATAGAAACCATCTGTGTGTGTTCCTGCCACCTTCCTACAAAGCATCTGCACGACGCGCCGAAAGCATGCAGAAACATCACACACCAGGTACGTGACTTGTAGTTCAGCAAAAGTCCCCCGCCAAAGGACTACTGCATGTAAAACGCCCATTTACTTTTTCGAGAAACTTCCGCCGTATAGCGTCATATACGCGGCACGAAACGTCTCGGCAAACAAGGGCCCGCGCCACTAACACAGATCCACACAACAGAAAAATGAAAGGCTAACAACCTGCGAAACGAACCTCGAGGTTGGCAAGCTTTTTCTTCTCGATAACTTGCATCAGTTTGCTCGCCACGTCGTTCTCGAACCTCTGGCGAGCCTCCTCGTGCCGCGCCGTGGGGTTGATCAGCTGCCTGCTACTGTTGTTCCCCCCGTTGTCTTCGCATGCTAGGAAAGCGTTTCGGCCGGTGTTCTGCCCGCTCGCCATGCGGCCGGTGTTCTGCCTGCTGCCTATCCCGCGGCCGGTGTTGTGCGCGCTACCGGCGCCACGCGGCGATACTGCGGCTTCCTGTGTTGCCCCCACGCCGACGCCTCTACCAGTCTGGCAATCAGGGAGGGTTGAGGCGCCGCCTTTTGAGGCCCCTCGAGGAGACAAACGCCCCCCCGCGTGACCACCGGCGGCGAGCATGTGCCTAGGGGACCTGGGGCTGCCGCTGGCCCCGTTCCCCGCGGACAGAAACGCATGTCGAGATGGGCTTGTGCCGGGGTTTAAACTTTCCTGGCGCTGCAGCATGTGGTGTGAAGGGTGCCGCGAGTTTTGCGCACTGCCGTTCCGCGAGGCGTGCCGCGAGTGCCCCCCCCCACGAGGGCTCCTTCCTCCGCGAGGGGAGTGCTTGTGCGATCTGACGCTTCCGTCCTCCGAGTGGTTGGGTGCCCCGTCTTCTAGCGCCTGAGAAAGCTCGGGACAACAGTAAAATGGGGTGCAGGTGCATCTTCGTGAGTGAGTGGCATCAATTTTGGGGCTAGGGTGGTTGGTAACCCGTCCAGGGGCCGGATTGGGGTAGATCTACCCGCGAGTAGAACCTCGAATCACACACATTTCATGCCCACGGAGAGTTAACCCGTGTCATGTTCCCTGAACTATCGGCTGCTGGTGGAACCGACGCTGGATCTTGTAGAATGGGGCCTCTCGTTCTTCACAGACCTATACGGTCGGATCGCAATCTTAAGGCACGTCTTAGTCTTGAACAAACTGGTGCCAGAGAGCGGGTGGAGGGAGGGGAGTCAAAGGGTAATAACGTACTTCATGCACAACACCAACAGCAGCTTATCATGTGCTTCTTTTTAAGGCAAACGTTTGATTTGGGAGGGCACGACGGAGCCACAGGTTTGTTCCCTTGCGCGGTGCTCGACCGAAACGAGACTGCAGGCTTTTTTTCTAACAGTGCTCAAGGAACAGCCTCCTGTCCTCCAGGAACTGCAGGATTGATTTTAAAACTTACGTCCCTATGAGGCCCAAAACGTGCGTCTCATGGACCGGTAGGGCCGCACATCTTCAGATAGGGACATTCTTCCCACTACCTCATATTTCCCGGGACACGCCTGCCCCTTCTTGCTGCCCGTCGAGCACGTTATTGCACGTCGATCTCGGCTTCAAATTGCCTGGCGTGTCGCAGAAGACCTACCCAACATGCTCCGCTCCGGGTGAACTTTGTGAAGGTGCACAGCAGTGCGTGCAGGTCTGTGATGAGAGCATGCTTTGGCCATGAAATTTGCAGGTGCAACCCGTCGTGGGGTGCGCTCGTGTAACCCCGCCTGGAAAAATGACATTTACTCCCGCTCGTGTTGAATGTACATACACTCACACCGTTCGGAACCTCAAATTGATCTCAAAAGGACCTCAAATGGCTGTCGAATGGATGTCAGACCCGTTGGGCCCAACGCCAGAGACACAAGGGCGTCCTGCCTACCTCGATATAGCGATGTGCCTGAAGAGCATCTTCTTCGGCTTGCATCTTTTCTAGCCGTAGCACTTCTACCGATTGCTCCAGCTGATCAGGCAAAGAGAGAGAAGGAGCAATCGCGAATCATAGGCGGGTAGAGGGGGCAGGGGGCGCAGCAACGAAAGATGGGGATCGAGCTGCTCCTAATGCTTGGTTGTGAGAGAGGGAGAGGGCACAGAAACGTCATCGAGCCGTACACATGGATCTGTGTCTTCACACAGCCTGTCCGAACCCAAAAGCAACCAACCAGACTCAGCGATGTGTTCTGGGGGAAAACTTGCGGCTCGATGCAAACCGCCGTCAGCAGGTGGGTTGGCCCGATCGTGATACCATCCATTATCTTCCTCTTTGACGAATTTGACCACTTCCGCAAGATAACATAACGACTTAACTTTGTCCTCCATGTTTCATGATCCATCCGTACAGTTGTTTCAGGTCGAGTGGTGACCAACATAACCCGATATTACTTCGCCACTTGCTGTATCTGCGGAGATACAATAAGATAAGAACAGGGGCAACCAGTACTGACCTCTCTGCACTGCTTCCGTAGGGTGGACCTCTCGAGTTGAAACTCTACCCTCAGGCGACCAACTTCTTCCTTGTACTGATCACGAATCTCCTTCGTTTTATCCTCAAGGATACACTTGTCCAAAAGAATTGTGTCCTGTTGTCGTCGGCAGACAACAAGCAGCATAAGGAGCGAGGCGTGACAATCATAGGTGGATCGGATCGCAACCACATTTCATCGACAAAGAGCGACCCAACAACTCGTCGAAAGTCCAGCCGTCCCTTATGGTGTAAGAACTGTTTACTACCGGGTTGACCCCCCACCTTGAGTTCGATTCTGGAGGCAGCACGGTTGATGTCGATCTTTTCTCTGTACCGCCGTTTCATCCATCGGAAGTTTTGCTTGGTCGACGCAGCAGAATCTTCCAGGTGTCGATCAAAAGCGCTTACCATCTCATCAATCGTTTCCTTCATCCTGCGCTCTATTGCAGCGCGTTGGTCCTGCGCCGTTAGTAACAGAGCCGTCATGAATGTTGAATCTTCGTGAAGTTGTAACAGTTATAGCTGATGCATCCGAACAACGAAAATCACAAATAACACGGAATGTTTCTTGTGCAAAAGAGGTGGATCAGCCGATTTCTCTCATCCACCCGGCAAACCGCCGTTGTAGACGTGCGCGCGATGAAACAAATGGATGATACCCACACTCCAAGGAACCCGTAGCACAAGACGCGTTCAAACCTGGAAGGCTTTCGCTACGGAGGCGAGACACTGTGTGTCGATACCGGCTAGACGGAGCTCAAAGGCTTGCGATTGGCCTCGGTCGAGCCCCCTTGCAGCCTGCTGCTTCAGCCACGTACAAGCCTCGCCGGACAACTCCGGCTGGACGCTCTATACGTGAAGGTTACGAAGGGTTTGAGGGTGGCGAGGGGAGGCATAAGAGTAAGGGTCCTGGTTTTCCAACACGTATGTTCGATAGATGCAACTTGCGTTGCTTCCAAGAGGGGACGAAGTGCAAGTCACCGAATGGCCAGCACATGTCATCTCTTTCCGCTGCTATCCCTATGGGTAGAAAGTAGAGCGACTTTTGATGGGCCAACTCGCGCGTTAAATATGCACATATTTGCACCAACACTTTGAAGCATGCGTTTCTCTCCTTCGGCGAGCCTCTCAAGTTCACGAGAGCATTAGGGATGACCATGATGGGTGAACACTCGAGAATGTGTCCCGTCGACATCACAGAGATCCAGACTTGCCGCAACATTTGTCGGTGAACGACTTGAACGCCTCTACGGAAGACGTCTAAATTTCTGGCTAACATGTTGCGTCAAGATCCCAGCGAACACAAGACTCTATGAAGCAATCAACAACGTGCGAATATACCGGAGTCTCGTGTTGCTACGATTTTCAGCAATGTGCCGCACACAGAACACACAATAGCGAAAGACGGGCATCTACCAATAAAGGCGGGCTCGTCATTATGCCCTAGTTTTCAATTTTCCACTCTCGAAAATGACGAGCGTACCTGGAGCTGCTCCGCGACTGTTCGTTCGGTGTCCTGAACGTCGAGCACTAAACACCGCAGAACTTCGCCCGCTGATTCTTGGAGTAGACCCGAGGCAACGTCAACAGAACTTGCTATCCCATTCATCATCATGCGGCAGTGGGTTTCCATCGCTTGTGTTGTTGGGGATTGTGATCGACGACTGTTGGTGGTTGTCGTCTGACCTCCTTCCATTCCCCTGGCTGCTAATTGGGCCAGGCCGGTGGTGCATCGCAGCAGTGACAAAATGATGCAAGGACCAAATGGAATAATCATTTTCACAGAAATTCGTTCCAATGATACTTTTCTTGCGTATTTATTCGCGATGCACACGAGGCGGGGGACATTCGTGACTCTGAGCAACACAGCCCTGTGAAATGAAATCGCCAAGTTTAATCACAGCACCACGTTGAATCACAGCGACAAACGAAACATCCGCAGTACTAAGCCAAGTTACAGCCTCCGCCACAACCATAACTACAGTGCAATGGCTCTTTTTTGCTGCCAATAAAATCTTTACGCATGACTACCTGAAGAGCGTGCTTGCGCCTCTTGCTCGTGGTTATCCTTGCCCTGCTCCTCAATGCGGGGCCCTTGGGCTTCCGTAGCAGTCGTAGATGCGGCTAACGCACGATCACTGTGGTCATCTTCGCTGTCACTTACGACGTCGTCTTCGACCCCAAGAGTAAACAGCTCGGTGAGTACAAGCCCAGCCTCTTTCTCCTCCTCCGTCGCATCAATCTGTAGGTACATTATTTCAGCATCAGCAACAGCCGTAGGGCGAAGCCCAACTTGCGAAGCCAAATGATAAATATAGAAGTACTAACCAAAATTCAGAAGATCTCGGACGAGTTTTTGAAAGCTGTGACCACCAGTACTCTGTCCTCTTCACATCAGCCTCGTCACCGAAGCACTGGACGTCTACATTGTACAAGCCTCAGCACGAGCTTGTTTGTCCCAACGTCCCTATGAGAATGTCGACTCCAGAGTATACGCTCTCGGTGACTAAAAGTTTGGACATACAAAAGTTATGGACTACTCATCACCCACTAGAGACGATTCCCAAAGTGATCCTCAAAGGTATAGACTATGTTGAAGTTTTTTCAGTGAAAATTGAGTGATGCCTGGTGGATATTGGACTTCATTTACTGTGTAGTCTGCTACACTTGCCGTTGGTTCATCATGTTTAGCTGTCAATGATGCTTTCTCCTGGTTGATGTCGGTGCGCTCCTCGAGCCGCTGCGACGTCTGCTCTCGGCCGACGTCCTCACCCCCTGTGCCGATTTCATTCATGTTAGTCCGGACATGAGCATCCCCAGAATGAGCAAGAGCCAAGACCGCAAAGGGCAGGAGGAAGAACGAAGAACGCGGTCACCCTGTCGCGCGGCAAAGCGGTGGAATACACGCGGCGAGATTGCAATCGTTTCGAACTTGATTGCGCCGCACTATTGGACTGTACTGCTGTATGGCAAGGAGCACGGGGAGGAGGAGAGGAGGCAGTGGAAAGCCGGGTTGGGTGAGAGGGACGGGAGTTACGTACAAGAGAGAGCCCCACTCAACAGAGGTTGTTGGGCACGTAAATGTTGATGCCCCATTCTGTCAAGACCCTTTCATAGACTGACGATATCAAATTATATCCTGACAACGGATACGATCTACATCAACAGTCTCGACTCGGGGTCTCTATTTGCTCCTGCAGCATGTAAGATTTGCGCGACACATTCCTCCTACATCAAGAATGGTTACAAATCCACAACTATGCGAGCCTCGTACGAGATCAGCGGGCGAGGCCGAACGAAGTGGTGATGCGGTACATGGTCCAACAGGTGGTACGTCGACGCTAGGCAGCCTATCAGAGAATGACTTCGAGGGAGTGGTGGGCGCAGTGTTTGGTTCCTGTCCGATTGTACCATCACCACGACGCTTCTCCATGGAGGACATGGTAAGAGTGGATGATAAAAGCTTGGGCTTGCTCCAGGTTTCATCACTCTGGAAGAGTTCATTGCCGCACATCAAACGTGTCGTCGAGACGGAGCGTTTGGCATCGACAGAAAAGGCTGACTTCGTCGCGAGGACGTTCAGGCAACGGCCGGGCGTTGTCTATGCTGTCAGGTACACTCTTGGGAAAACGGCGTTTATCGTAATGGTTTTGTTGCTCTGTGCTGTGCTTCAGCTCTTCCGGGGCTGGTCTCTTCCGGAGGGCATCACTCAGTGCGTGATTGCTGTACTGTTAGTGCTGAAACCATCTATAGACTATCATGCTGCCCGCTACACGTGCAAAAACACAGCGCTCACGTTTGTGCGTACCGGTTTGTACAGGTATTGGGAAGGACTGGCGGACACTACCGTCCTGACATTAGTGTTGAAGAACATTCGAAACATGTGGTGCTCGTCTACGCATTCGATGTGCCAAGTGAGTTCAAACCAAGGCGCAACGAGGTACCAAGAGGGTAAAGACGACGACCGCGACCGTGCGACTACGGAGGATACACGTGAGGCACGCAACAAATCACTGGAGCCACCTGAAGGTCAAGCACCCGCTTCTGTCGATCAACAACGTTTTCCTGAGACGCCTGTGAACGTTATGCCGGGGAACTGTCGAGGTCAGGAGATTCAGGGAGAAGGGTTATCTCCCACGGTGCCACAAACGGTGGAGGCAGACGGTGCAAATCGTGGTGCCATCGGAGGTACTCGGTCGGATGCCGGGAGTGGGGGTTCAGCAACAAGAGACGGTCCTGTTGGTTCAACTTTTGAGGCTTCGGTTTCACTACCGGAGGATACCCTTGGACAAGGGTGCACCCCAGCTAACCGAAGCTCTCCATTGCGGATGCTTGGATTTGCGGCGAAGCTAGACTCATCGCTGAAGAAGGCAAGCGTAGCTCTCGTTTCCGAGTGGCCAGGCATCGGTTCACTACACGACTTGCTTTCAGGGAATGTCCAGATTGAGCATCGAGCTTCGCAGGAAGACCTACTAAGGTGGACGCGGCAGGTTGCCGAAAGCCTATTACATGCAAGCCGAAGCGGCTGTAGTGATCGCTGTGGCGACGGAATGTCGCTGAGGATGTCAACAAGGAACGTGTACCTGTTTCGGAGGCCGCGGGATGAGCTCCAGGAGGGTGCTGATGTGTTAGATGTTAGGGTGAGATATGTTCGGCAATCGTTTGGAGGGTATAACAGTCAGACTAACCTAGGTTGCAACCGGGAGAGATATCTTGTTCCAATCACAGAGAATTTCAGTTTAGCCCAAGGGAAGGTGCGAATTGCAATGAAACTGAACTCTTCCAGTTCATCATTTTGTTCACCTACTGCACGAATCCACAACTAGTCTATACACCGCCGCCGAATCAAGCTGTACCTAGTTTATTGTCTAGCCCCATCAATGATGTGGCCACCGTTTCTATTTCCGGAAAGGTGGCGACGTTTTTTGGAGGGTGTTCGATGCCGGACGTAAAAGGGAGCTATGAGGAACGAGGAGCACCATCCCGTTGTGTGTTGCCGCCGGAAATAATCTGGGCAACACCTGACGCAGGCGTATCGATAAGCCCGACCAAGTTCCGAACAGGGAGAAGACAGACCAATTTCGATAGGGAGGCTGCCGATGTTTGGGGTATAGGAACTCTTGTCTTCGAACTCGCCACAGGACGGGTGGCAGGTGATTGAACTCTTTCGCCGGGGTCTTGATGGTAGTTGCAGAACGTTACTCTACCGTGGCCGCTCCATGTGATGCGTTGGCGGCACTTTCCTCCTTTTTTTAGCATACCAGACAAACGAATTTCGTCGCTCGCACTCTCCTCGCAACTTACGCCGCTGTTATGGTTGAGAACGGAAGGACATGGTAACATCATGAATGAGGCTGGCTGGTTGACACGCAAGTGCTTTTGGCACCCTCGTAGTCCGAAGCTTGTGAGTCGCTGCGGGGACTTCCAATCAAGCTATAAGGGCAGGCTGTCGTGTGTCTCCGAACTTCGGTCATTCCGTTAACACTCTAGCCACCACAATGTTTTTAAGCCCAAACTAATTCGTCTTTTAAAACGATACTGCTAGCAGGTCCGGTTCCCGTAGCCTTCCGACAGCTGCGAGATCTTCTTCGTGACGTACCCATTGACCCTCGCTTCATCTTTGGCGACATAGCCCGCGGTGTGATGCGGCTTGCGCTGAAAAACCAGCCCGGAGAGAGGGCTAGGGCGTACGAGATTACGGCGGCGGTGGAGCAAATTGCGGCTAGGTATCCAATCCGAAGAACCGTATGTTAAACTGGTTTCGATTTGCAAGAGGCACCTTAGACTTGCCGAACGCTACGCAACGTCGCGTTTTTCTCGGAAAACATTGACCCGTGGTGTGCAGGATATATGTTTCTATTTGTAGCTATTTCATAGATGACTTGATCAGTTTTGGAGCTTGAGATTCATGATGAACTTGGAAAGCGGCCCTCTTCATCACCGCGTCCAGAGGTGCCAAATATGAACAAAGCCGGAGACTAGGGACCCTTCATAGCTGTTTTCAACGCAGAGATGCCTGCAGATTCGATGAAGCACTGAAGGGTGCCAACAAGGTGTACATTCTGTGAAAACGGTGGTGCACCTCGACTCGACCACTTTGCAGTGCTTCAAGACACTCCATACGCAAAGTACACATCTTGCGCCAGATATTCCGCCGGTTGCTTCGCCACTGTCGACGTTCCCTTGATCTCCAGCAGCTCAAGAAACAAACAGTCATGAACCTCTCGGGTCTGTCGCCTCAACCTACAATACTACATCTCCGTTGTTTGTTGGTAAATGCAGGACACTACGGCGCGCACACACGGCACACGATCGAATTAGTCGGCAACGCCGAGCAGCAGTAGCAGCAGCAGCTGCAGGAGCCGGGACAACTACTGGGGAGAAGGGAACAGACGAAGACGATGGCTACGGGCTCGCTCTCGCCCAGTGGAGGATCAACGAGGCAGTCGAGCGAGCCGGAGGCCGAGCGAGGGCATTCCTTCGACAGCTGTGGTATGTACGCGTGTATTTCTTTCTCCTTGTAGCAGGATGGTGTTGCTTTGGTTAGAGTGGGACCTGGGCAAGGACCACGGCCAGAGGATCTTGGACGAGCGTGGGGTCTGCTCGAGAACTCCAATCGGCTTGAATTCAACGACAATGTTGAGAAATGGGGCGTGAAGACTCAAAACCGTCGTTTTAAGAAGAAGTGCTGCAGATAAAAGGGTCTGGAGAGAATGTCATGGATCAGCCAGACATGCGTGGCACCTTGTAAGGACATGTTCCGACGTTTGAATAACCGTTCCACAGGTTCAACTCCCTCACAGAGGACGACAAGCGACGGATCAGGCACAGACGTCGACATCGGAAGGTGTGGACGCTCTTTGCCACAGTGGGGGGAAAGCCTGAGCAACGTAGGTCAAGTTGGAATCTCGATTGGATACCTCAATACAGACTCTTCAGCTGTGTATTGGACATGAGTGTATGTATTGCCGTTTTCACGAGTATTGAAAGTTGAGACGACGTGCCGTGCAGAAACCATTGATGCTATTGGAACATATGTGGAACAAGCACCAAATGAACTGCACCAGGCGAACCGGGAAGCCAGAGAGTGGAGAGGACGGCGCGTGCGTGCGGCAAAAATGCACCATTGGACACCCGTCGAGGTGGCAAGCTGGATCTCCCATCTTCTCCGGAAAGCAGAGGTACGGAGGCCGTCGCAGGGAAAAGGAGGGCATGGTGTTTGGGAGCATGGTCTGCTCAAGGCTGATCGTGACATGTATCGCAATAACAGAAGAAAACACAACGAAAGAGGTAGTGTGAGGATATAGGTCGCGGCACACGACCGTACCAAACCGTAGTTTTGTGTGGGGTTAGAACCTCATGATGTTCACCCACCAACGAAGGAAGTTAATCGGGGATCAAAGATTCTCGTATGAAAAATTAACAGTTCACAAGACGAAATCGGCGTGCGTCAAAGCTTTGGTCCGCCAGGGCTCAGTTTCCCCCGGCGTTGCTCTGCAAGCCATTTTTTCCTTGGTTCTATACCTTGCACCTGAGAACGCCTTTCGGCTCTTGTTGTTGCTGGTGTTGCCGGATTTTCGCCCGTTCCGCGCCCTCTTGGCCCTGTTCCGGAAAAACGAAAAAGACATCGGGGAAGCTCCCGCTCCTCTTCTCCGGGGATGCCAAGGGTGGTACGACTAGTATGGGAGGAGATGACACCGGCCCAGGTGCTGTGGAAAATCGGGTGATCAACCCTACAGAAGAAGATGCGCAAGAGAGCGGTACTGCAGCCAACCCTACACCGGAGGAAGGGGGGGGAGTGGTCGACTCTTCCGATACCACCCCGGTGAAAACGGAGGGGTCGTCGTCACCAGCAGCAGCACCCCCTTGTGACCCCGCTCCCTCTCTAGCCGACGAAGTGAAGAAATGCTCCGGTGTACTCGCTGACGCTCAAGACAGCAGTATCGCTGGCGTGGGTCAAGCCCAAGGCGATGATAACTTTGACAAGAACACCGACGATGGTGGCCATGGGGACGTCAACAACAAAGACGACGATGACGACGACCTTAGCAGTAGTGCCGAAAACAGCAACAACGGATGGGCTGAAGTGGAAGCTGGCGAGCGTACGGGCTACTCCGGAGCCGCGGTGGAGCCCTTTGCCGTCAAGGAAGGGATAAATGGGTGCTGCATTATGGAGGTTTGTGGAATTGCCGGGCGAGTGGGGATAGAGGGGCAGCAGTAGAACCACACTAAGGAGCGCCCGCGCCCACGGGTCGCACGGGGATTATCACTGTTGACGCTATCAGCCCATGAGATGTGTGATGGTCTTCTGGTAGAGGTCTCACGATGTTGAAACATGGTTCTACTTACTCCCCACCTTAGTTCATTTTGTAATCACCAACCTGCTTTCGTGCCTTTCCCGCAAGGTTCACTTCGTCTTGTACCTGCATCAGCCAGAGGTTGCCGACGAGGAGGCAACAGAGCGTTCGTTTGCGGGTACATGGTAGTCTCCGCCCCACGAAGGCATTTTGCGTCCTGCTACTCACCCCCCTTGCACCAGCTCTTGTGTAGCCGTTCAAGTCCACAGCTCTACATGTGCGCTCGCTATCAGGCTGACCATTGTGGGTTACCGAAACGCGCAAACTTGAACCTTGGCTCTAACCCGGCGGAGTGATGTGATTGAGAGCGGAGGTAGCGCCTAGCATCCGGGTTTGTGCTAGACCGAATACCGCAAAGTGGCTTTGTGCTCGGTGGCCTCAGGCAATGGAAGACGCGTTGGGACATACGGAAGATGCCTTGACCCGATTCATCAAGAGCTCGACGAGGCTGGCACGCCCTGCTGAGGTCGAGCAGAAGAGAGTAGAGCTCATGGTGAGGGAGCTGCTGACGATCCGGCCGTACTCGACGGCCAGCCAACTCAAGCTCAGGTCAGGGGCATGAATGCACGTCGTCAGCGAACCCGACGAAGCGCCACTACGATATATGCAGCGAGTAGTCCCAGGCTCGATTGTTGCAATTGTGTGTGGAGAAAGACACGCAAGTATCAACTCCTGCAGACTTTCTTGCAGTACTCTCTGTGGTTTAAGCAAACCTGAACCAGTTACTGTATTTCCTATCTGTGAATTCACGTTGACTTCTATTTTGGAATTCGATAGCGTTGGTGCAAATAGTTGTAGTTGTAACGTTCGTATTTGGCCCTGCAAACGTTCTAAGCAGGGATTTGAACGGGCACAAGCAAGCACGAAACCCATGAATAAATAAAAACTCCATACCCTCCACCCTACGCCCTCCACCCATAAAACCCTTCATTGTGCCGCAAACTTGCCAAGGGCGTTAGGCGTCGTCATCGTGCGAAGCGCTGAGGCTCCCCGAGATCCAACCAACGACGAAATTAACGCACAGCTGCCGTCGTTGGCAAGAGTTTTGACTGCGGGTTACCGGCGTCAGGTGAGACGGCCAATAGTTTCTCGGGGACTCTCAAGCAGCGTGCAATGTATTCCTGTTCATTTTTATCGAAACCAGTACATCGACCGGCTCGAGAGAGAAAGAAGGCGTTCGGTAACATACGACACGATCAAGTACTCGATGTGACGGAACGACTGCCTTTCCTTTCCCTGGTACTTTGTAGTTGAGGTGTAACTACTTGGTCAGATTATCGCCGTGTGAACGTTTGCACAGCTCGGACTGGAATCATGCCATGCACGTATGTACAAAGATGGAAAATTTTGTGGAGGTATTTTTTGAAAGGATTTCACCTCCGTTCGTTTCTCGCTTCCTCTCGCTCGAAGTCGGGTGACCTCTGTTGAGAGGCTGTTCTCATACTCTCCGCTGCAATATTTCCAACCGGTGGCGGTCACCTCTTATAAGGCTCGCATCTCTCCAACGTCTGTGGAGGACGATTACTGCCCTTCACATTGGTGTCGGCGAAGAGATGTCTGCGTTTGGTGACGGAAGACCCGGGTTCAAATGCCGTCAACCGAGGAACATTCCACCATCCAGCAAAACAATTGTGATAGACCAAGCGGATCTTCAAACTTGTTGAACGTCTGGTGACGTGGTGGAACCAACACACTTGTGCAGAAATAAATCAACTCGCCGACAACCGGTCGGGTGCCGGTTACCCCTAGAAGTCTTCTTCTTTTCTAACAACCAAGAAAACGGGGGGGGATTGTGGGGGGACCTTTAGGATGGGTCGCATCTCACCAACGTCTGTCGAGGACGCTTTCTCTTGTCATCATTCAAGCAGTTCATTCCACCTCACCCATTGAAAAGCTCACACGTGTGTCCTATTCCACCATCGATCGTATGAACCAACGATTGGGTGCTATACTGTTGAGTGACTATTTCCTTTGCCGGCAAGTAGAGTTAAGAAATCCTATCTACACCAACAGTGTACATAACCATTGTTTGCCGGAATCAATGATACTTGTTTCAAAGGCGGCAATGGTCGAGCAAGGGTTAGAGTTCGCGGCTGCGAGGATCCAGGGCCTGGCCAGGGGCAAGAAAATCCGCAGGGTTATATCTTCCATCTGGCAGCAAGCCAATGAGTATGCCCGGGATATCGTCCAGGGGGAGAGAGAGGCTAGAATGAAGAGGGAGAAAGAGCAAAGGGCCAAAGAGAAGGTGTGCCTAGGGTCCCTAGAGTTTTGCTCCTCTCGACCGGAACTCGATAAACAAAGTGTATATAGATGTGGACACACATATTAGCTACACTACATACGAAAATCATGCTATTTTGTTGATTCCACCCTTCTTGACTGCATTTGCGAGAAAAACAGGGGAGGGTACGGGTTCAGTCCCTCCGCAAAACGGCTGGGGGCAGAGAAGGCGTGCATGTATCTCAGCAATCCAACTTTTGTTGGTTGGTGTCAGCAGGAAAAGAAAGAGCTTGATCTCCGTCGTTTCTCGCTGGAGAAGTCGAAAGCCCGGGGCTTCAACGTGCAAAGACATGCGGTACCTTTGGGTATTGTTCTTTGTTTTTTGTGTAATCTCGGCAGGAGGAAGCCTTGGAGCGGGAGAGGGAAGAGGCCAGGCGGTACCGGCTGCGGTTGGTACCACGGGCCTCCTCGGTGACCTGCAGGAGCATGGTCGTGTCCTTGCCGCTGTTTCTTGTCGCGGCGGCCCGGGGGGCCAGAAGGTGGCAGGAACCTTCCCCACAGATTGTTGACATGAGTTGTTGTTGCTAACAGCTGATGCTGTTGCTGTTGCTGTTGCTATGGTTGATGACGTTGTTGTGGTCGGTGGCTGTCCAAGTTGATGCCTGAGCTCCTGTTCTTAGATCAATACTACTGATCGGGATGCTGCGGCGTGCGCAGCGAAGGACTTCCACCGCCCGCAACCGCAAGTACATTCCGACACGACTTTTTCTCTTGAGCGATCAATCCCGTATCCCTTAGTCGATTGTTAAAAAGCAAAAATTTAGAGCAAAAATGCTTTCGGTGGGCTCCCATCATCAGGCCATGCCAACCTACACGAAACGAGTAATTCCCCTCGGCTTCGGCCCTGCCCTCCTTCCCGCATAACAGACTCGGACCCAACCACCCGCAACAGGTTCCTTGTGGTGGAAACGACCGTCGTGCCCCCTCCTGCGCTCCCGCACTACCCATCGTCCTTTTCGCACCGGCCGGACCAGTCGAACGAAGTCAATACAAACGAGGATGACAGAGAATACGAGGTTGAAATTTCTAGCAGAAGTGTAGGCGGGTTACCGGAAGCAAGCGGCGACGAAGGTTGCGGGCACGTCCGTGTGCTGCTAAGACAGGTAGGTGCGGGAGAAAATGTCCGGAGAACGTGTGAGCGTATTACATGCATAGCTACGCAAATATCGAAGAAGCTGGAGGTGAAAGTGAAGAGAGCCCTCGCGAAAATTCCACTCTTCTTCCAGCGCATTGTTTTCCTCCGCCCTAGCGCCGTGTAACTTCGCAGCGATCGTGTGTGACTGAGAAATAGCTCTGTGGCGAGGGTATGCGCCTTGTTTCTTACCACAAGAGGTGAAAACAGGCTGTGCGGTCACGTCTTTGTTTTGCCTGGTCCACAACAAACACACACCTCCTCCCCCTCCCCCTCGGAAATCGCGAACCTCGCAAGGGTGCGGCAGTGGAACTCGAATCGCCCCCAAACAGCAGGTTTCTCGCCACGCAACCACCGCAATGTAAGACGACGACGACGACGACGACCACAACAACGACAACAACACCGGCAGCATTTGCGGCAGCAGAAACAAACGTACGCGAACGGACTGGCACGGAGAATGACGGGGCAAGAGAGGAGGCTTTCCAAGGACCTAAAACGTTCTTGCACGCGGTGGGAACCAGCCTGTCGCTTTCCGAGCTTCGCCCGTGCACCACGTACCGCCTGGCGCTAGCGATACCGCCAGTCATTCGGAACGAGCTCCTCGAATCTGCAAGGTGCGCGGTCGGCACCATTGTCCGTTGGATGTGCTTTGGTAGTGGAAGGGGTACGTGTACATAACCACACAGAACGTGTCTTTTGTGCCGGAATGATCAGAGGCCGGAAAAAGCGATGTTTCTTTGCAGGGGTAAGTTACAGCCGATGAACGCACAGCGGAGCCTGCGTGTCGCTGTTTGCGTAGTGCATGGTCTTCACTTCACCACCCGGCCACCACGTCACATTCGCCAACGATTTGGAGTTCCACCACCGAGAACTTTCGATATCGCCCCATTCCAATTGATCGGGTGCTAGTCGTGTGTGTTTGCAAAGTGCCCCGTCGAGATAAACAAAGCCGCCCCTCAAAGCCGCCCCTCCACCCCTCCCGCACCCACTGTGTCTTCGTTCACGGAGTACTTATCGCCAACGCCATCGCATCGCATTCTGCCCTTGTTGTCCACGAACTTTAGCCCACCATTCCCATGTCCTTGTTTGTCCACGAACTTTGGGACCAGGTCGCTAGGAGTTACGGAGGCCATCCGCTCCCTCGAGACACCGACGGAATCTGAGACAAAAGACAACAACGGTGGCAGCGACGGTGTTAGTGGCGGGGATGGTGACGTAGGTGCAGCTTCCACCTCAGGGCACTTGGACGTGGAGACCCTCCCTGATGTCCCCGGCGAGGTGCCACTATTGAAGTGCAAGGTATGAACTCCCCGATACTGCTGTTGCATTGGTAGTATCAAAGGGCGATGCGCTTGGTGTCCACACGTGCCGTGTTGCTTAGGTATTGTGTGCCTGGTCGGGTGCACTCTGTCGTTACTTCGGCATTAACTTGATATTTTTCTTGTGAGCAGCAACGAAGTTGTTGTGCGATACAACTATACTCCCAGGAGGATATTTGCATGCACTGAACTTCGTCCCTCATTCTGCCCGCCCCCCCCTTTGCCGTAATGGCCTAAAGTGTAGTGATTGTCAAACAGCCAGGAAGAAGAAAATCAATTACCGCGTGAGCATACCCCGTGCCACAACGACCCTTACGAAGGATACCAATTCACGTTGTCATTTCAGGTTTGCCATGAAGGGAAGAACGGCTACCGTTTTTACGTTGCGACGCACCCAGAGAGTAATCCGTGCCAGGGGCGAGCAGAAAATCAAAATTAAAGTGTGCGTGAGTACGTCGATACGCTCATCCGTCCGTTTCCGTCGTGTGCGTTTGGTAGGTTCTCACGTCGGCCTCCGCCGTCGATCCGCGCGATCCGTCAGGCGTCCTTTCGTTGCGGCGGTGGCAGTCACCGTACCCTGCTATTGCAAGTGAGTATATATGAAGACTGATTACCGCGACAACTCCATCCCTTGCAGAGCAGATGTCTCTATTTTCTCCCGTCATGCAGGGAGGTTGATCTTCAGGAGAATCTTATGTATCTCATCGCAGTCATGCGTGTTGATTTGAGGAAGTGGTGTACGTGTTCGTCATAACGAATTTGGTCCTGAGGGTTTCCGCAGGGGTCGACTATTGGTGCTTGTTGTATTGTCTTGTTGTGTTTTCGGCCCTGAGAAGACAGGGGAGTGGCGTCTTGCGGGCAGTAGGCACTCAACTTTGCTTCGCCTCAAAGATGGCGCTTGTTTGTTGCGCAGGACTCGCCGTCATACCTGTGTATCCTCAACATGCGTCACTCTTCGACTCCCTGCATGCGTGCCGTGTCTGTCATCTTGGGCTATTCAGACATGGACGGTCCTGTACCCGAAGACTTCGTCGTCCTTGCCCCGGGTCGCCCTGAACCCGTAGTTTCCCTCCAATGGCAGGGACCCGAGAATAATGGGCTCGATATCTGCAGGTATATTGACTTGCAACGGTGTAGCGGTAGTACACCACCAGCCCCGGAGCTTGATTCAAAGGAGAGCAGGAGTTGGTGATCAGCATCAACTTGTGTAGTCTAAATGCCGGAAACACCAATGCCTGATCACACATACATAATGGAGTTGTCGGGGTAGCTCTCCCTCACCCTCTGCGAGCGGGCATACTTCGCCCCTGGCTACGTTGCCCGGTAGAAGTCACCCATACATACTCCGATATGCTCTTCAAAACATGCCCGTTCAACTCAAACAACAACCACATCCAGCTATACCGTCGAGAGAAGGATTGGGCGTACAGGAGCTTGGCAAAAAGTTCGTTCGCGAGGCGGCACCTGGAGGCGTGGAGATGGAGGTGGAGAAGACGGAAGGCAACCACTGACTTTCGACGAGGTGGACGCTCCACTGAGGACCATCTCCGTCGACACCCTGAGGGCGGTCGCCGTCAACGGGCTTGCGCTTTCCTACAGGTAGAGGGGTAACGGTAGAGTACATCCGGCGCAGGTAAGGAGGAGTTCCCTGTACAACGGCTGGCGTCATGTGTGTAATGCACAGACCTCTCTCTTTCGCCCCCCTCCCTTCCCCTCGAAATACGCACATCGTCATTTTGTTCCTGTCCACCAGCAGCTCCGGCTTTAACCTCTTCTAATAGACTCCCTTCCCTGTCATCGCTTTTGTGGGCAGAGTGCACGCAGAAAACGTGCTCGGGGCTGGCGCTCCTTCGAAGGCCGTGGAAGTCAACCTGGGAGCGTTTCTGGGACACCTGCGAGCACAGGACGGGGGGGGCAGGGCGCTGAAAGCATCACAGGAATTGCCAGCGGCAGTAGGACATCAACAACAAGTACCATCATCATCTCTCGACCGCCCCGCTCTTCCTTGTTTGGGGTGTGTCGATGCCTTTGCTTGCACGAGCTCCCCTGCGGCCGGTTCCGCTGACGTCCCTCTTGTCTTGGATACTGATGACTCGTCGTGCTCAAAACCGCTCGGTGTTTTGACGGAGGGACGCGAAGCTCCTCAGCTGGCGGACCAGGAAGAAGATGAGAACAGAGAAAAGCCCGACGAAGTACTCCGAGGAAAGGGCATGGAACAGGCACACACTGGCACGCAGGCGGCGGTGACTCGACACCACGCTCCTCACACCACAAAGGAAGACAAGTTGCCTTCTTGCAGTTGTGCGCCATCTCCTTCGTCTCCAGCTTTCGGCGGCAACTTCATGGGACTAGAAGGGTTCGGGGAAGCACGAGTTCACAACCTGTTCGCGCCCCCGTCTTTGTCTTTGCGCCGAAGAAACCAACGTCGCCTACACGCGCACGCTTCAGCAGGAGTGCCAACAGAGGGTCGTCAGCTTGATTGTGACGGGGTCGGTGGCGGCGGTGGTGGTGGACATGGGCAGTATCCCTTACCACCGCTCGTGCTCGTGTCGGGAATTTCCGGGGAGAGTCACGGTCTCAATGCCACCTCAGCGAATAGGCGGAAAGACGGGCGAGGAGACTGGGATGATCAACATGCACCTGTTGCTGCGAGGGGGGCGGAAGATCGGAGAGAATGTGGTGGTGGAGGCAGGGACAGTGGTGGGACTAGCACCGCCAACAATGACGTGTTCCATGCGTTCATTAACCTTGGTAGGCGATTGCCGGGCCGCTTGCGCCGCCATGGGCAGGAGAAGCAGAATTGATACAATAGCCTCGAAAGAGCTTTCAAGTTCCTCCGAATGCGCAAAAGTTGTAGTGACTGGTAATAGTTACATGGTTTTCTCGAAGACATGTTCTTTGAGGTCGTCTCCACACCCAACAAACCAAACACGGCACAACAAAGAACGCGAGACGTCGACGTTGTTCCCCCGCAACTTTACTCCATTCCCTAGTTGTGGTCCGCGGACAATTTGTCAAGTTTGCGTGTAACCTCAACCGCTTCCTCAGCTATTTTAACCAACAATCTTTCTTCCAACCGACATTTACGGCAGCCATTGAGCTGAGCATCAGACTTCCGATTTGTGGAACAACGGAGCCAAAAGGGTAAACTATCATCTGTTGCGAGAAACACTGTTGCCGTAGACAGTCACGCTGGAGGCAGTCCGTAACCAAAGTGCGTACGGTACCAACGCTGGGAACAAAGAACTCGAGCGCCTTGGCGAGACCCACGGTACGGGAGAGATTGAACTACACTGAGAGTCCAACAACGAAATAAGCAAGTAAACGAGGCTAACTCTTTAGCCTGAACCTCTTTTCCCTCCCTGTGCGTGTGGCCACGCGTCGCCAACGCCAGTACCGCTACACGCCGAAAAGCGCTTTAAGCAGTGTCGTACGAAGAAAACACAAACGACAATCTAATAGGCAAGAGTGCAACTTGGACAAATACAAAACCCAAAAAAGATGGAACCAACCTATAGGAAAACCCTAGAACGAGGATTTTTCCAGCACATCACACAATGGACGGCCTCTCCCTAGAGTTAGTTGTCAACCTACCTGGTCCTAAAGCAATCAAGATCAGCAGGTACTTGCCGATGTCACCGAAGCTCCACGGCAAGAACTTCCCAATAGATCATCTCTGGGTCCTTGGCCTCATTACCTTTTCGTCTAGAAACGACGAAACGCAGAAAACTACTTCGTACAAAATAGATTTTTATGCATTACGTACCAAACTTACACATCTTCGAAAGGATTGGTACCCTCTGCATCCTCTCACTAGAGCACCAAGGCGACAAGCCGCCCAGACGCCAAGTCGCCAAGAGGCCCATGTTGAAACACCCAAGGCTCTAACGTGAAAATAGGGCACGAACTCCCACCGTGGCTTTCCCCTGCGCTCAACAACATACAGAACCCGGACAGAAATCTATTCGTCGATGTGGGGTTACAACCATACACGGTCGGGCTACCTTCTCTCTAAGTGACCTTCCCCGCCGTCAAACTAAAACCCTGACCACATCGTCAGTCATGACCGCTAGTGTCGTGGCCATGTTTATCGGTGGAAAAGATGGTCCCTCTCTCGACTTGATTGCCCTCGCGGATCACACTCAGCAGCCGCTCTCGATCTGCCACTTGAGGTACTTGATCCTTTCCTGCGTGCGGTTAACCTTGGCGGCGTCGCCGGAGTACATCGCTTTGGTGCGGAGGCGCGCGAGACGCCTGAGCTCCGTCATCTGCGTCGGGGGTAAGTACCGCGCACAGGAGCGATACAAGACTGTGTGAGATTTTCCGCGTGGACCACCAATCTTCAGCTTCGCGAGTGAGAGGCACGAAACATGGGGCTTCGGCTTTCGGTGGTTTAGGGCAATCAACGTAGTTGTAGATCGTTTTTTTTTTGCATGTTGCCTTCAACGGATAGTGTAGACAACAAATACCAGTTGCAAGAGAGTGATCGGCGCGCATCGCTCATTCCTTCCCACCCATGCGTTTCCCCCCTCAATTGTTGATGGCCTCTTTACTTGTACCTGCTCTGCCGAAGCGCCGACCATGGGCACGCTGAAGTCGTCGTCGTCATCATCATCGTCGTCGTCGTCGTCCTCGTCGTCCTCAGCTGAAACATGGCGACGGAAGTCATCGTATCATATGATACGCATGGAAAGAGCAACAGAGAACGGTGGCGAACCGAGGAAACTGTGATAATTATGCCGAGCACGACGGGATTCGTTGCTCTTCGGGGAATCTCTCCAGTAACACGACTCCAGGGTTGTTCGTTGCTGCCTGGACAACCACCGCCACCACGGATGCTGGGCATGTCCATATCTTGATATCTTTTGAGGCTCGACAAAACAGAGAAAGAAAACAACGGTGCCTCTTCCGGCCCTTACCATACGGCGGGGGAGGGGCGCGGGTGTGGTTCTGCGGGGGTGGCGCTTGGTGACCCTGAACCTGGGCCATCATCCCCCTGCCTAGCATTCCCATGCCGGCCATCAGGCTTGCCATTGGGTCGACCGGGGGAGCGCTCGACACGTAGTACACTTGGGGGGGGGGCGGGGGCGCCCTGGTACAACTGCGGCGGCGGTGCCCCCCCGTACTGTCCGGCGAGGGGGGGCTCCGCCGCCTCCTCCTCCTCCGTCATGGAATTCGTCGTAGGATGGCGGAGGCGGCATCTGCGCCTTGGCCTCTTCCTGCCGGTCCTGGCTGTCCACGACTACTTCGTCTTCGGCGCAAGGCTCGTCCTCGGGGAGCCCTTCGAACGCCTCCGCCAGCTTGTCCCTGGGAGTCAAGACGAGGCATGGAGGAGGTTAAAAATACGGTGTCAAAATATTTTTTTCCCATAAACGCGTGTGGCGGGCACGATCTCACCCAGGCTTTGTTCTGGGTGTACGTGCAACACCATGGTACCAGCGCGAAGGACGAGGATGCGGAAGTATCGAGCGTCGTCCCAAGAAAACCGCTCGCTTACACCATGCAACACGGGCATCTTCTCGTGTGTCTGATCTCACCCGGGGTGCACGGGGTCAGAGGAGCACAGCCAGGTGAGCACGGCGCGGCGGAACTTTCCGCTGGTCTCGGTCTTGAGGGCCGCCATTAGGCTCTCCCCGTAGTTGGTGAGGAAGAGCTCGGCGATCTTTTCGACCATCGGCTTGTCATTGCCGCCGAGGACCCTTGCGATCGCGCTCTTGTCGGACGAGATGCCCTTGAAGGCCGTCTTGAGCAGGAGGGCGTAGTAGGCGATGGGGTCCTTGATCATGGCCAGGAGCATGGTCTCGAAGCTTCCCGAGCACTCCTTCTTGATGGCCTTCTCGAGCGACATGCCGTGGTTGCGCTCGTAGTATTGGCGGATCAGCTCTATCTGCGGGCGGGAGGCCTGCGTGAGGATACGGATGAAGGTCTTCTTGTCGGTGCCGAGCCTCTTCCCGATGCCCGCGGCGTGGAGCTCCTGGGCCTGCTGCACCGCCAGGCCTTCGTCCACGACGTCCTCCTGCCTCTCCCCCCGGATGAGAGCCAACACGACGTCCTCCATGGCGCCGCTGAGCTCCGACTTGAGGCGGTCGATCAGGGGCTTGGGGTACTTCTGGTCGTGGCGGGCCTTTGCGGCCAGGATGCGGGCGTTGCTCAGGGGGGCGAGGGTGGAGATGATGAGGCCTTCGTTAGTGCCGAGACCATCCATGGCTTTCTTGAGCATCAGGGCGTCGAAGTCGGCCTCGGGCAGCAGCACGTACGACAGGAAGTCCCTGTTGCCATTGGCAGCAGCAACAAAACACACGAGCAGAGAACAATTGATTGATCGATGAAGGGGGGCTTCCGCCAACAAGAAATGAAGCGTACAGTCGTTCAGTTCAGTCCCTGCAAAAGGACACGTCATAAAGGAAGAGAAAACATGTAAGGGTTGTGGCGGATCGTTGCGGATCGTTGTAGGCTAAGCAAAACCTTGCAGCCACCAACAAAAGGAGATACAACAAGAACCGAAGACCGAACACGCCCAGGCTACTGCTGATGCTCGAATTGATGCTAACAGCTATCTGGTGCGAGGTTTCCCGAACTCCTGTTGCGGCCTACAACGTTGCTGCTGAAGCAGGTAGACCACTCAATTTTGCATCAATGTTTACGAGTGGAATCTTCTCTTTTGGAACGGCAACAAAAACAGGTCCTCGCCAGGAGAGGTATCAAAGCTGAACGAGGTTCTCTGTCAGAATGCTAAACAGCTCTAAATACCATACCACCGACAAAACAAGCGCCACCGCTCTCGCCAAAGGGAAGGGGAAACAGACGAAAAAAGTGATTGAGCTCACTTGTAGACCCCGAAGCACTCGTACTTCACTTGCGCCTCTACCGACATGCCGTAAAGGGAGTGGTAGTACTGGTCCACGCGCGCCAGGTGCTTCTTGGTGCGGCCGCAGATGATGGAAACCAGGCGGGAGTCGTTCGTGCCGAGACCCTTGCATGCCTCGCGAATGTCTCCGCAGTCCGCCTATAGCAACAGAACGACAACGGGAATAGCGGCGCGGGGGGGGGGGGGCGTACTCCTGTTTCCAATGCCTTAACTGTAAAAACATTGGACCACGCAACCTTGAGAGGCAACAGGGGTATAGCCATCACTACATACTGGCCGTCACGGGGAAACGTCAGGCAACAACCCCAACCTGACAGATGAAGTCCTTGATGTTGGCGCGCTCTTGCAGGAGAGCCTTGGCGAGGTCTTTCTGCTTGGAAGGGTCGTTCTCGGCTAGCGCCTTCTCCGTCACGTACTCCATGCCGCCGGTGGGGTCGGGGCCAGCCACCCAGCAGAGCGCTGCCTGTTCGTCCCGTGGTTCAAATGCCGCGTCGTTCCGTGTTTGGGATGAGAAGAGAGAGCAAGAGAGAGAGAGAGGCAAGGAGAGAGAGAAAGAAGAAATCAGACAAGAGACACAAGAGAGGCAGAGAGAACAGAGAGAGTAAAGGGCAACAAACCTAACAACCACCCAATCGTATGCACGGGGATTGTACAAACGCAGCTAAACAAAACAAAATACTCGAATACAAGCGTAAAAAACACATCAATAGTAACATAGTACGCAAACTTGCGATGTGCATCCAACACGGCAAGATGCCGCCCCCACCCGGACAATAAACACATGCTTGCATACACGCACAACCGACGGACCTTCAAGAAAGTGCCGCTGAGCTCGTCCTTGAGGTCCTCGACCAGAGAGTTCCCGTAGGTCTGCAGGTAGTAGGCGGCCACCGCGCCCATCTTCCTCTTGTCGGTGCCGCCCAGCAGCCGCGTGACGCGGTCGTTGTCCGTGCCCACACCCTCGAAGGCCTTGAAGAGAGCGTACGCCGTGTACGCCTGTCGCGTGTAGCCAAACGTGCGTGCGGCGGAAGGAGGTGGGGGTTTGAAAAGCGAGGAGGCTGATGCTGTGAATTTCATTTCGACCTGGCCATATTCTGCCACACCCCTTTCCATCCTGTCTGTCTCCAAGTCCTGTCTGTCTCTAGCGCTCTATAATATTGTTTACTGCCTCTATAATAGGCTACTTTTTCAGCTAAACGAACTTGGTCTCTGGCTGCCCATTCTTGGACGGGATATCAAGACAAGCCGTGCCTAGCACCCCGGTTAAGCCGTAGGCGTGCACGGAAACAAATGGACAGAAGCCCGAGGCCACACTTTGCTTACCTCAGACGTGGGGAAGAGACAAGCCAGCAGGCACTTCTTGTAGGTTCCGCTGCACTCCTTGCTGACGGCCTTCATGAGAGACATGCCGTGGTTCTGCTCGTACGCCGCCTTGATGGCCTAGAAAAAACCCAGAAAGGAAAGGAAAAACTCCCCGGATAAGAGAAAACATCGTTCCCCGTCATGTCTGTACGCAGGCTCACCCAAGGACGATATCAGCAGTCGGGAGGACCAAGACAACATGGGTTGCAGTTTTGAGCGGCAGTGCAATATTGTTCAAGGATATTTGACGGTGGCCGAGAGATCGAAAGCAGTGGGAGCAACAAACCATGACCTACGAACACGTTATCTGCACCTGTTAACCCCTTTGGGTCTAGCTGGGTTTTTTTGTTGCGGCAAAAAAAAAAAAGGAGGAGAGAGTGCGGGAGAGAGAGACAGAAGTACAGCAGAAAGAGACGAGTGTACTTCTGTAGACGTAACAGCTATCTCCGCCCATAGGCCATGAGGGCTGCCCGCGACAGGACGGTGGGCACAGACAGGGTCATAGAAGGGTTGATGCGTGGTCGCGGTGCGGTCGGCAGGGCAGGTTAGGCTTGTAGACCTTGAAAAGATCAGTCGTCAAGCCGCCTAAACTACTCTTTTTTCAGTAATTCAAACTATCAGTGAAAATGATCATTGAGTGGGCCTGTAGACCCATAGCTGGTTCTTCTCTGTCCCCTCCCCAATGTGAGCCCTGCCGGCTCACTACATACAGCTCCTGTGATTTTCCCACAATTCCCACAAACACGCAAGCACACCAGCACACACCTACCTTTGCATCAGTGGCTCTCTAGGTTCGGGCGAGGGTATGTGTGGGGCTATGATGATAGCGTATGTGTTACTACAGTACTGCAGTATGTTGGACTCGTCTACATATGCTGCTGCTGCTGTGTAGCATAGCTGCTGATATTATGACTGCTGGATCTCGGGAGTGTACGATTTTCAAATTTGGAGGATATGCAGCATAACACGATATCCTGGCCTGGTTGGGCTTGAAGTGCCCCTTTTCGCTGTCCTCCTTTGTTTGCGTTTGTGGCTTGCTAGATTCGGGCGAGGGCATGTATGTGGAGCTATTGATGTGTGTCTCTGCGAAAGGATATGGGGAGAGATTCATGGTGGCATTCGCATTTATTTAGAGCAGTGTGCATTTTTCGAATTTTGGCCGTTTCAGAGACCTTGATAATACCCGCTGGCACTGTAACGTATTTTCATTGATCACCGGGTACGCGGTCGATGGGAAGAATATAGGCACACCTACCTATTGACTTGCCAACACCTGGCGTGGAGGGACACAGGGCGGCAACTCCATGGCATGCCACAGCACCAGCATTGCAAATGATCAATCAATGATCTGTCAGGACGCCTGTAGACCCAAAAGGGTTAATAACAACCAGATTTCACGTACTGCGGCATCACCGACGCCTTGCCAAACGTGACAAAACTACCAATATCATAAGCAGCAACAACAAGCCCACCTGGATCTGCGCGCGCGACTGACGTCCGAAGATGTCGAGGAACACGTCGTCGTCCGTGCCGATCAGCTTTTGGACGCCTGCCGCGTGCAAAGCGGCCGCCTGTTCATTGGCCAGGTCGCAGTCCACCTGCAAGCAAAAAAAGCGCCACGGGGCCCCCGAGCGCCGTAGTATTATAGACCGTGCCGCAGTACACCAACAGTTTCATGCGTTTGCTTGTCGATAAATCTTGGGTTGTGTTTGTGGTGGTCGTTGCTTCTCGAACCCCAGGGTTTGCCAGTAGGAACAACGCCAAAATGAAACGTTAGTCCTATCATTACGAGATTGCCGTATCCGACCAAAAACAAAAATGACACGTTGTAAATGTTGTCCGTGTTTGTTGGACGGGAAACGAAGCAGCAGCAACAACAACCAGGACTGCATGCATATCTGCCGCGACTCTGAGTCAACTTACCTCCTCCGACTCGCTCTTGTGGCCCATGAGCATCATCACCAGGATCTTGCGAGCGTTGCCGCTCAGCTCCGAGTTCAGGTTGTCGAGCATGGACTTGTTGTTCTGCGTGCACGTATTATAGCAGGTTGTGTTTCGAATCGGCCGTGGATTGGTCACACACACAAAGGAAGGAAGGACAAGGACGAGGTTCGGATCAAGGAACGGGGAAAGAAAAAGGAACCAAATTTGAGATGCCGAGCGAGGACGGTAACAAGGACGATGAGGAGAATCACGAGGGGAAAAGGATACGACAATTGGTTGTTGGAGGCGACCGGTGGCGAGACACGCACCAAATCAAAACAAAATACCGAAAGCACACAATGTTTGACACGAAAGAGGCCCATATTTTGGAGTAGAGGGCAAGAACAGCAGTGGCGTCATAAACATCACGCAACAAGGCGAATTGGTCGATTTAAGATAGAGAAACAGAGAAACATGGTATGAAGTGGGGAATAGGAAACTAACAATGGCGCCATACTGTAGTGCTGGTGACACCGCAACGAACTGGGAATGGTGAGAAATCTAGCAAACAGCAACTAACTGCAAAATGGGTCTGTTGCGATTATGTTATGGGCCAAGCTTTTCGTGCCCACATTGTACGGAGCTCCCACTGGGTAGGAAGGTCCCCGACGCGTATTCGCGGAAAAGGGGGTTGATTCGAGGCAACGCGCTCAACAGAGCACAGACACTCGCCCCATCGTATTGTAAAAGCGAATCTCAATTCACTCTCGGTTGTTTGGTGCTCTTCTCCTCTTGTTGTACGTGTGTGTGATTTGGTCCCATCGATTCTGGGCGCCAGTCTACACTATTCGGTGGTATATGTTTCACGCACCAGCCAGGGTCACACAGGGAGGAGGGTAAGCACTGGCGATTTTCAAGCATGGCAAAATACTTACACAAGTACGGGACAAGAAGAGAAGGCTTTCGCTATCAACAACGTACGAGCAACCGAAACGAACATCGTGATACGGCACGTGTTTCGTCGGATGGGGCGTGAGTATTCTCTCTTGTCGCACCTTGGCCTCCCATTTCTTCTTGATGGCCGCCAACTGAGCGTTGGTGTGCGTGTGGACGAGGTCGATCAGAACGTGGTCTTTGGTGCCAAGCCCTGAGTGGAGTTCAAGACACGGACAGAACCGGCGAGAACGCGGAACACAGGCATGTGAAGAGAAAACGAATGCGCGTGTGAGAGAGGCGCGCGTGGGGGTGGAACACGGAGGCGAAGAAGCGAATACGGGTCAGAGCGTGCGTGCGTGCGTGCGTGCGTGAGAGAGCAACGCCAACAATCGCGACTGCACAGCTTCCGCAACGACCACAAAAAACAACACGCAAGATTCGTTCGCTTCGCTTCAGTCGTGCCTGTCTGCCGCACTTACCCTTAGTGGCGATGGTGTACGCTTCCGCTCCGAAGGCGTCCACCTCGAGGAGGGAGTACGTGATCATCTTGCCGAAGTTGCCGCTGACATCGCTCTTGACAGCCTTGAGCAGGCTGCTCTCGTGCTGGTGGTTTCATGCGCGTTCGGATCATTGGCACACGGTTCGGGTTCAGGAAAACTTGGAAGAATGCGCTTCGTCACCACGAGGTGGCTGCTTGCTCTCGCTCGTGTTTGGCTGTTTTCACTTGAATGGGCTCGTTGTTATATGACAGACCTTTTTACCACTAACCCCCGCTCTTGTCTCCGCTTAGGTCAAACGAGAGACAAGCACGTGCAGGCAGTAGAAAACTGGCGATGGTAAAAAAAAGACCCAGCTCCCGAACTCAAAAGGACCCCCCCCCCCCCCCCAAATCCGATGACTCCCAGAAAAAACGCCCAACTTGAAAAAAGGAACGAAACAACACGCAAAGCCAAAATATCGATTCCCATGTCAATCCCCTTGCCGTCTCGTGGTAGAGCAAGTCCACGGCGTCGATCTGCTTCTTGGTGCGGTTGCACAGCGTGTTGATGAGGTTGCCTTCTTTGGTGCCGATGCCCTTGATTGACCGATGAACGACGTCTACATCTCTCTCGGCCACGAATCCCTGTTGCATCGCGACAAAGACGAGTGGCGGCAGTAGTAGTGATTAGACTAGGTGCTGGTGCATGTGGCCGAAACGGCAGATTTTCAGTCTGGGTCACCAGGGCAATCGATGAACCCATCTACTCTATTCAGTAGTATTACTGTAGATTACTGCTGTAGATAAGAGGCTGAGAGATGACACCCCCCATAGACCGACCTTAAAAGCTCGATTGCTCCACAACCACGGTGTGTGTGGAAAGAGCTCGATACTTGAAGTTCTACGGAAATCCCTCGACTAGATGTTTCGAAAACCATCGTTTTTGGTGTTGGCACAACCATGGTTAGGGAGCAATCGAGCTTTGAAATTCGGTGTAGAGGGGGTGCCATCTCTCCGCCTCTTACGGTACTTCATCCCTTTGGAGTCTCGACACACTCTTCGTTGTCCACGAGAATATTTTCTTGGACGCTCTTCCACTAAATACATGTAGCACATTGTGGCCTAGAAGACGAAGATATGTTTTGCTGTTTCAAAAAAAATATGCTTGGCATCTCAGATAGTGAGTATTCAGCGAATTGGCCGAACTCAGCCCATCGGTCAGGAACAGAACACCGGCCGTAAATTGTACCGAAACAAGGAAGCACCCGTCTCCAATCTCCGATGACTGATGGGGAATGGTTGTGGTCTGAGGAACCAACAACCGTATTGGAGACAAGCACCATGCGGCTATTCTCTCAGAGGTGAGGTTGATAACCGACGAGGAAAACCAAGAACGCAGACACCATCCATGCGGTGGAACTAGAGCAGTAGTACCTACGCAACAGCAGTTTTGCTTTCACCCTCTCACACGGCACAGCATTACTGCTGTGCTATGATACATAAGTTGTCAGTGCTTACTGCTGGGGCGTGCACGCAACTTTTTGTTAATGGTCTCCACCCATCTTCCCGGTTCTGTTGGGGAAAAAAAAACACCACCTGACGTCGTTCGTGATGAAAAGATGGAAGAGGACTTGTCCCGTACATCCATCTTATACTAGAGCTAAAATCGATATTGTATTGTACAAAGGCAGTGGATCGTCCCGCCAACGCAACATGGTCGACATGTCACACTACACACACCAGCTGTTGACATCACACCGGTGTTCTTCGCGGATGTGGGACGTTCGGAGCAGCTGTTTGTGATGAAATGACCCGTACACAGATGCATGCAAACTTTCTCTCTTGCTTGCCATAGACATGTACCCACGAATTTCAGTGGCGTAGAGTCATCAGTTGTGGACATCTATGCCCTCTACGCGCCGACGCTGGTGTGTGGTGGCTCACCGCCGGAAATGTCGAGAAATTTTACAAATCTATCTGCTGGTATTTATCTAGCAGCGGCGCCTGATGCGGTCTCGCCGCGGGATGTTACCGTTCCTGCTGCGGGTGTGGAACGCCCGACGCCGAGAATATTGCTCATGCGCACGATAGCACGAGAGCGCGCCTGAGTTGCAAAGCAAGGTCTCCCTGCTTGAGACTGAAGAAGCGAACGCACCTTGAGGCAACTGATCTCCTCCTGGACTACCGCGATGATCTCGCCAACGTTGTTGGCAGTGTCGATGTGCTCGGGGGTGTATTCGGTCGTCATGATTTGTCCGCCTTTTCGTATCTTTCTGACGAGTGTGCCGAGAGGGTTCAGCGAGCAGACGAAAGTAAGGTGTGAGTTTGTGGAACAGCAGCAGGTAGTAGAACCGGGCAGGGTAAGTACCAGCTGTGGGCATGCGCCTGTCTCCGTGCACCGGAGAACTTCTCGGCAGTAGCGGTATGCAGTGTCGACGTGTCGACTGCCCACGCTACATTGCTGTTTCATATGCATATGTACGGGTATTCCTCTTGGAACCCTTTGCAACTTTCAACGTGCATATTGTACGACGGACAGGTCTTCACCCTCCTTCTCTAACCTTCTACTTCTACCTCTACATCCTGCCAACTTATCATCACCAGATAGGCCTGTGCTCGAAGGCTTTGCTGCGAGGTTCAGTGGGAGCGCCAGCTCTACACATGCAACGCGCTCGCTCTATGCGTTGCCGTGAACGGATGTACTGACAACAGAAAAAACGCGGTGAAAAATGGAGGGTCTTTGCGCAGCTGTGAATGCACAGCTAGTGCACAGCTTCATGGCTGGGGTACACATCAAAGCCAAGCAGCTCGCTCTCACCTGACGATCTTAGTATTTCAAGTGCAGGTTATAGCGTAGGTCAGCGTGGGGTCGCTCGTTGTTCAGTGCAGTGCAGCTCTGCTGTGAGATGTGAGATATAATGAAGGTGTGGATGGTGCCTGGTCGCGCGCGCGAAACTACTGTTCCTGTTCGTGTGCAAAAATCACAGGTGCCTGTTGGGAGTTGGGAATGGCTCGCGAACGCACGATACACCAAGGAAACTTCTTGGCAAAAAATACATCAAACGAAAGACTCCCCGCTCGAGAAGAATTAACAATTAACCCCGTCGGTTCGTAGGTTCGCAGGGGGAAATGTGTCGCAGGGTTAAGGAATAATAAAGGGGGAAATGTGTCGCAGGGTGCACCAGTGAGGGTTGAGGGACACGTGATTTTTCTTGGAGAACAACATGCGTCTAGAATACGAGTTGCCGGCCGAGCCCTTGACAGCAGTATGGTGGTAACAGAGAGTTCCTGGGAGAGTTCTTTCGCATGAAAAAAAACGTCCACGCGCGTACAGCAGTACGCGATGTGTCGTGATTTGGGGGGCGTTCTTCTTGCCGATTGGCCAATCCGTGTGTGTGTTCGTGTTCGTCCAATACATCTATTCTGGCGTCAGTCTACAGGCCTCTCTGCTGCTTGAATGCACAATCCACATGAATTTTGACTATTTTTTAATGTTGATTGAGTCCAAATGAATTCAAACACTGCCTGTGCACCGGTCATCATGGCAGCAAAACGTCGCTCACGACAGAGCCCACACACACCTCCGTTCAGTTAATCAAAATGGGCGTGACGAGGGCTGAGGGCTGCTCTCACCCTCGTGCATCTCGGGGGCTGTCTACGTAGTTGTACTGCTTCGTCCCGCCAAGTAGGGAATCCTCAATACACCATCCCCCGGGCTGAATACCCCGGATGAACGAGTAGGTACCTGATTCCCTCCCAACATGCAAGAAGCTTGGAAGCAACAAACGAATACGTACAGAACGAACAGGACACAAGAGAAGGACACATCAAACAATCTGAACAACAATACCGAACTACAATAAGAGAGGGGGCACAAACGATACTCATTCGTAGCTCACGCCCCAAAGCCTTTTTACTACTGCTGTGCTCGTGCAAGTCCACCAAGATCTAGACACTGAAACCACGCCCACGAAAGCAACAAGTTCTTTTCATTCCACATCACCTACAACCTCCCCAAGAGAGAGGGAGAGAGATAGAGGCGGGCAATACGAGGATACCTGCACTACACACGAATGAATTTGCTCCTCCCGAACGAGGTATGAACAAAACACAAAACACTGTACTAGCCCACCGGCCTGGGCGCACCAGCCGTGGAGGTGGGGTGAAAGGAGCTTATCGGAAGGCATCAATGAAGGCGTCGAGCTCGGGTGTGTGTTCCCCGTCCGCTGTTCCAAGAGGTACCCCTGGCGGTCGCAGGATGTCGACGATCAAAACTAGCCTCTCCTCCGACGATTCGTTGAACGCCTTGTGCAGCTTGCTGTCGTCGAAAACGATAATCTCGCCTTCAACATGATGCCGTACCTGATGTCGAGAACAGCAGAGCGATTGAGCAGGACACAGGTTTGATGCAAGCAAAGCCTGGGTCAGTGAAACCTCGTCCTTGGATCTGTCGATTCGTCTCGTGGGATGGAATCGACTGCATGGGAGTCAGTCCTTGTGTCACTCGTTTACATTGAAATCACCATGGACTACTCTTAACCGCCACAAACACCGTCGTGACTAATGCGAGGCGTGCGGCACAGGGTGAGTGTCAACTGAAACCCCCGCGAGCGCTTGCCGTGATGCGCAAAGTGGCTACAGATCATATGATATGGCATACTGACGACGCGGTCCTGCCGCCACTTGCTGGCGAGATCGTGTACGAGTATATCCAGCCTGTTGCCGCCGCTATGCAAGTGATACCTTCAATGGCGTTTGTTTGCTGCAAGCATTTCGCCTACTCCCTATTACTGTGTCAAAGATGCCTGCATTGAACTACCGTACGTCACACAGTTGTCCCACGGCAACACCTAGACTAAATAGCAAGACCACACACACACAAGAATAGCTTTGCTAACGTGTGCGGTCAAGACTGGGCCTATCATGGTCATACAGAAGACCAAGCATACGAGATAAGCCTACCCTTCTTCCTTGGTCTATCCACGATGTGGATGTTGTAGAATGCACACGGTTTGCAAGAGGGAAATGAGGCTGTTTGTGTTCGACGACCAAGAGCTGGGAGTACAACAGGTTGTCGAGTTTCAAGTGGTCATCGTGCATCCGGAAAGTCTTTCAGATTCCTACATAGCTCCCATTTGCTGGGAAACGAAGGCAAAGACCGGCAAGTCGCTACACGATCAAATAGCAGTCAAAGACAAACATCAAATCGAACACAAACGAACCAAACACGCGTGCGCACTCCGTGAACTCGGGGGGTTGTTGATCACTACCCACATCACAAGACGTCGTCGATTCCTATCTATATGTAGCACGCAACACACGCATGGGGCACAAATGCGTGCACAAAAATATCGCAAAGGCACCGCAGCCTTCAGGCACACAACACGCACGCACCTCTTCGTTCACCCACAGTCCGCACGGCCCATCCGAGGGTACCTTGAGCGGCAGATGGCACCGCAGGACGTGGTTCGCGAGGTCCGCCCACCCCCGGTGCCCCGAGATCCGGGAACCTCCCCCGAGCCGAGAAAACAGCGCCGTTCGGATGTTGGGCAGGCGACGTAAGATGGCAGCCGTCGCAGGGCATCGACCGCAGGTGCTGTCTATCCATGTTCGCCGGGCCTCGTCGTACGCGGGGAACGTGTGTACGAACGGGAAGACCTTCAGTTGGCGGGGGGTGGGGCAACGTCCGGGTCGTGGGATGCCAAGGACAGCGGCAAGGGAGGGATGCGGGAACGTTGGGGGAATGGGCAGTGGGAACAGCAGTAGTGTGGCGAGCAGTCCATGCAAGTTTTGCGGGCAAAGCTGTATCGAGCAACTCCACCGGTGCTCATTCGTTTGACAATCACAGAAATCAGTCGCCGCGACAGCAGCAGCATTGGTCACAGCAGTGCGCCGTATTCGGAGTGGGCACACCAATTGGCTGCGGTCGGTTTGGACGGCAATGGTCAAACCCCGCCTTGACCGTGTCCGGAGACGCAACGCTATGCTCCTCATCCCTCAACACCGATGACTTTGCGTGCTACCAGCTCTTTGCAATTGGCGAGGGATAATGGCGCGGTCTGAGACACAAGGCTTGTGAGTATGGCCCTCCAACAAACAGAATCATGAGAAAACGTGGTGGGCAGCCGCATCATCCTCATAGCGTAGTTTCAGTGGACGTGACATCGTGCAGATTGACGTGCCGCAGTCAAACACGAAAGTGCTGGACCACCCCACACCGGAGTGGCAACAAACCGCCGACCGTAGTTGCAGCTCTACGAATAGAGCGGACGCGATAAGCTGAAGCAACGTCTTCGCCTTCATGAGAGTGCGTACAACAGATGCCAATCATAGGTCGCGCGACCGAGAACTGGCAGACTAAACCCAAACGTACCCTTTTGCATCCCATGCGTCCAAATCGCACCTTCCAATCTTGCCCCCCGCCCTCGTTGTAGTGCTTCTCGGGCCAGGACTTCCACGCTGCCACCTGTGTGCACTCCGCCGCTATCTCCGACAACCCATGTACCAAAACCTTCAGCTCTGGAAACAGGTCTTGCCAGTCGTAATAATTTGGCGTGTCGTCCTGGGGTACCTCCCCCGCCGCTGCTATCGGCACCAGTTCTTCCGAGAGGTTGAGCGCTTGCCCAGATCCCGAAGTCCTCGCCACAAAACCCCCCTCCTGCGCCGTCTGGGCCTCGTCTATCTGCCGGTCTCCGACCACTGCTGCTGCTGCTGCTGCTGCTGCTGCTGAGGCCTCTATGTCTTGGTTCGGAACAACGCGCCCACCGAGACTGCTGTTCAGAGGCGGCGGCGGCGGCGGCGTAGGCCGTGGCGGCACCGCCCCAACCGGCTGTGAGGGATTCTCGAGGACGGCCTTGGGTGCTACATCTTCCACGCCCCCCATCGCAGCGGGATCACACACGGCGAGATTGACCTTTTGAGATGATGTTGTATGTAGAGACAAGCTGGAGATGGAGGGCAGGAGCTGCTGTAGCGTCCCTGCTGTGAAACCTGTAGCCGCAACTAATTTGCAGCCGGTGTCACACCAGTCGTAGCACTGGCAGAGCTGAGGTAGCAGCAGTAGGAGAAGCACAGCCAATGCGAATGGCAAAGCGAGATAGAGAGAGAGAGAGAGGTCAAGCACTAGCAGGGAAAGCCCCCAGCCAGACCAGCGCGTTGGTTGTGGCATCATCACGCCGGCGCGCCAGCGGCCGGCCGTATCATACGGGGCCATGCACAAATGCCCAGAAAAAATTATCCCGCGTCACCCCCATCGCATGATGCTTGCTTTCGGACCGCACACACCACTGCACCTCTGTCTTGCTCTATCGTACACGGCAGACTACCATGCGACGGCCTAGGCCTACTGCCGCGAATGAACCTGACTACCTCGTTCGGTCTCTTGCTTGCGCGACCCGGCTGAATCGCTCGTGGACACTGGCGGTGCTGCTGACTGCAGCTCTGTTGGTGGTCAGTCCAGACGCCGCATCATCTGCCGAAACGCACGCACGACGTGGGAAAGGTCAGGGTGTTGGCCTCGCTGCGTTCACTGCCCCTCTATCCTCCCCAGCCGTGTGGGCCTCCTTGCGAAGAGAGAATGAACAGCTTCATCGAGTGTGCGGCTCCACAGGTCGTGGTCCTGGCGGCGCGGCACATCGTCGCTTTGCAACAACATCAACAGCAGGCACGCTAGCGGGGCTTCAACACGACGACGACAGCAGCAGCAGTAGGCGGCAGCAGGGCGTGGCGCGGTTGTTACAGCTCCAACGTCGTCACTGCAGTAGCAGTAGCAGCAGCAGCAGCAGCAGCAGAAGGGTGTCGACGTCTTGGCCGCTGTTTCAAGCCGCCCGTGCCGTCGGCGTCGGCGTAAACTCGACCGCGGCGGGCACAGAGGTAGCGGGAGAGGTTCCACCATTGACGACGACAGAGATGACGAACAAGGAACAAACTCTACGGCCGTCCAAAGGCAAGGAGTCTACGAGCGTAGAGGGCAAGGAAGCCACGGTCATCATCACCGAGGCCGGGGGCAGGCCGCACACGGTGGCGAGCAAGGCCAAGATCTCGGCCGCCAACAAGGGCAAGAAGCCGTGGAACGTCGGGGTGGGGCACTCGGAAGAGACGAGGCGCAAGATTGCGGAGGGGGCGAGGAACGCGGCGAGGAAGAGGAGAGAGAAGACCGCCGAGTCTCTGGTGAGCGAACCCTGCTGCTGCTGAGGGGGGGGGGGGGGGCGGGGGGTAAAGCTCCCGTTTGTTGTTCTATGTGGCTGGCTGCGTGTATTGGTCGTGTGCTGGCTTCCTCCAGAAACAAAAGGATCGCATATAGGTCGTTGCGTGCCATGTTTTGGGACGGTGTCACTGGTACGCATATGCGTCATGTTCCCACCAGAGCGGTACTCCGTGAACCGCTCTGCTGGTGTTTGGTGGCCTTGGTATCGGGGTCGGTATCGACCACGCTGCCCTGGCCTGGCCTTGGCTTTGCGACAGGTAAATGTTTGTCGAGGCGATCAGGTTTTGGGGTGCGTATTGCGTTTGGGCTAGGAGTTTATTCCGACCGCCTCGCGAGCGAAGCGAGCCTAGAAATCGCCCAAGTCGTACGTAGAATAACGGTGGTGTCATCATCGTGTATTGTGCGTCCAACTTGGTCGATATACTGCGCCTCTGCACGGTAAGTGTTTTTGGGGGCTGGCAAAACCAAGCGCTGGGGAATTACCTGTGATAACTTGGCCACGTTCGACAACGGTCTATCCCTGGTGTAGCGGTGCCCATGGGACGGCAGGCATTTGTCTATCCAGTGTGAGCGCGAACCATGCAACCACTGCTGGCTCGTGCACATCAGACGGCACCATGGCCTTCCCCCGTCAACAGAGCTCACAGGCATCTCACCCCGAACAAGGGGCGGAAAATAGCCCGCTAGACCCCTCTCCCCCGCATTCCCCTCTCCCTCACGGCACGTACTCTGTCGCTCTCGCTCGCTTCGGTCGCCCCGAAACAACGGTATAGGGCATGACCCTGGAGGAGTACGAGGAGATGAAGCGGCGGAAGCCCGCCGGGAAGCGGGACCCGACGGTCACCGAAGAGACGAGGAAAAAAATCAGCGCTCGGCTCAAGGCCAAGTGGCAAGACCCAAGCTACCGGGAGCGGCGCAAGCAGTGCATGCCCAACCGCAAGGGCGTCCCGCACACGGAGGAGACCAAGGCCCGCATCTCGGCGGCGGTCAAGAACAAGTGGAACGACCCGGTGTACCGAGAAAAGGTTAGGCGGGGAAAGGATGAGAGAGGTTGGGGGGCGCTCATTTGCTGACAGGCTCGGAATTACGGCTTTCGCGTGCTTTTCGTCTAAACGGGGTGCGCTAGCTTTCGCGAGGGACGCAGTGCGGGAGGGGGTGCAGCTCCTTCGCGCGCTGGTAGGGTTGTCTAGTTGTGTGGAGCCACAGGAGGTCTTGCTTCATGTTGGCACGCGTGTTCTGTACGCACTACGGCAGTGTTTCCTTTGCCGACGTGTAGCATTGGGTGAGCAACTCGCACGGACGCCCCCCTGCTCTATTTGGACAAGCACCCCTGCTGTTTTTCGGGCGTGCACAGTTTTTCGCCGCTGTCTTGCTCTCTGGCTCTGTCTCGCCTGCTCTGCACTACCTCAAAAGGACGTCGCCTGGTCGCAACGCCTAACCTTAGCCGAATCTCTGCCGCCTCGGGTGTTGTCGTCTGTTGTTGTCGTGGCCAAAAATGATGGTGGCGGCAGATTACGAACATGGAACGGACCGAAGAGACACGGGCAAAGATCGGCCGAATCATCCGTGAGCAGTGGGCCAACCCAGTGACTAGAAAGGTGAGCGATCCCTCCAGGGTAGCCCGCAAGTGTTCACCTGAAAAGTGGAGGGCGAAACACCAGGGCGGCTCCCTTGCCCTGCACCATTGACGAAAACAACGAGTGCATCAATCGCCCCTTTTCTGGTCCCAAGCTGGCTCTGACTTGTTTTTACTCGTCCAAACGTCATGAGTCCATTTCCTGATATTCAACAGCTGTATGGTGCCGTGCCGTGCTCTGCACAAGCCTACTGCTGCGCACTTGTTTGTGGTGGCACACCTGCCCACTCCTCAACACTGCTCGTATTTTGTCTGCCCCCCCTCCCCCCCTACCCCTTTAGGAGCGCCTGAAGAACATGGCTCCCCGTACCGAGGAGCACAACCAGAAGATCGCGGCATCGGTGAGGTCCAAGTGGTTAGACCCGGAGTACAAGAAGAGGACCTCCGAGGCGATGAGGAAGGCGGCCCACGACCGCATCATCGCCAGCGGTGGGGTGCCGAAGCCGCCCAGAGTGCGGCGCCCCCGGGTCCCGCGCGCCCCCGGGGAGCCCGGCAGTCGCGCGTCTAGGATAGAGGGGGTGGGGATCTCCCGCGAGGCGCAGAGGAACCTGAACAGATGGGCGAAACAGAGAAAGGATGCTGAGGTCAGTGCTCGAGGCGTGGGTGCTTCCGAGTCGGAGAGAGGCGTTTTTTTTTTTATCCGCGAGCGAGAGAGGGAGTCGACGGAAAATTAGTCCAGCGAGACAGAGAACAGGAGGGTGGAATCTTTTTTGCCGAGGTTTCGGTTTTCGGCGAAGAAACAGGCGTCTTTCTTGTCCCCGCACTCCCGCGTGTCTCTAGCCTTGTTCGTCGGTGATGGTCGAAGATACCCTCAACATTTCTCGGTTTTTCGAAAGATGCGGCCGCTTTTTGAGGGGGACGTTGTGGTGGTAATGGCGTCGGATTGTGGTTTCATGGGTTTTTTGTGGATCCTCCTTTACTCCTGGGGCGTCTTTTTTGGCCACAACAACCTGTGCCCGTGGGGGCGCCGGGGGGGTAACAGGGGCTACGCAAGGTGTCAAGAGAGTGTAAGGCGAGCTTGTGCGGAAGTCCTGTCTGACTGCCTCATCTTCGTGCCTGTTGTTGCCTAGGTCGTTCGCTGGCGAGCAAGCCTGCCACAGCCCCAACCTGCACGCGTCGTATATACCTCTAACTCGTTGTGAACTTGATCGTCCCATGCTCTGGCCCCTTCGAACGACGCGTATTGACCATCCTGTGTAGCCAAAACTGGCGATTACAGACGCAAATTGCACCAAGACACATGCACGTCATCCAGTCCACTTGTGTCCATCAAACGAGTGGCCTCCCTTCCCCTCCCCTCGGCGCTGCCTTGTAGCTGACTGATATTCTCCGCGATATGCATGGCTGGTTCATCTGTGTGTAGTTCCTGCCTGCCGCATTATACGGCAACGCCTGAGGGGTGAAGTGTGACGAGTGACAATGCTGTTGGAGGTGTGTAATATACTCAACCTTTTGAGCTATCCAAATCACACCTGCATTCTTCGGGGCACGCAATCTACCACCACCCTTGTGACTTGAAACAGGTGAGATTGATGAGACAAGCGAAGAAGGAGGAAAGGGAGCGGGAGGCGGCGACCAAGCTGGCCATCAGGGAGGCCAAGGCGGAGGCCGAGCGGATTGCGCTCGAGGAGGAAGCGGCTCTGACGGAGGGCCTCGACGACCTGGAGAAGGTCCTGATGCGGTCTACCATCCGCGCCAAGGTGTGTGTGTTTTTTTTGTTGTTATTGTTAGCATCGACCGTTAAACAATGACAAGGCGTCAGTTTCAATTGCTGCTGAAAAGCAGAAACCGTTTCTAAAGGTGATGATATGGGACACCCCGTGAGGGGGCGTCAAGGGGACTAAAGATTTGGTAGCAACAGAAGCAAACATGTGTGTCTGAGAGAGAGAGAAAGAAAGAGAGGCGTTATGGGTTGCGACATCGATACCTGTGCAATCTGGGCACGGATGAGAGCCTTGTTCCTAAAAAGCACTACCAGGTACATGAGGATGTCCAGTTGTCTGCTGATTAGATCTTACATCAGAAGTGCCATGAGTTTTTGTTTTCGGTGTGAAGTTGGTTGGAAGTGTATTTGGCCACATGTTGACGTTCTTTGTGGTCTTATCCGGCACAAAGCGGCGAAGTATACATATTTGGAAGTGTACCTGCATCGTCGAGAGCCTCAACGGCGCAATAACACCTTTAGGCACGTTGTTGGTCCTCTCTGTTGGTCAAGACTCGGCGGGTGTGAGACTCGTTCCACACCATTTGGTGCAGAGTAAGGTTTCTTGGGGGTGCCACCGAGCCGTGCCTTTTCCGTGCCCGGCGCCATCGGCGCTGTAGCCGGGTGGGACTAATCGCAGATGCGCTTCTCGGCAGCATCATTATCAATCATCATGTTTGTAGGCACAAGATTTAAGCGCGAAGCCCCGAGAACAAGGTGATATTTTTCCCTGTCTTCGCCTTGAGGAGTTTGTCCCGTGAGTGCACACGTCGACTCAGTTGCATACCTGATGAGGGCCGTGAATTAGGCAACAACGACGTTAGAATAGCAGGGTGAAAAGTTCCGCATGGCGAGCGGTGAACAGCGATTTTTGCGCTCGTTCACCACAGCAGCAGCAACGTTTCTATCTTTTTTTTATTATCCCTTTTATTTTTGGGTAGATGGAGGTAAAACGTGGCACACCACAAGACGGCGTTCGTGTGAACAGGAAGGCTAGGCAGGCCGAGATACGCATGCGTATTTTTTTCATGCCGAGCTCCCGAAACTCTTTCGTTTGTGTGTGATGGAATTTGCTCAATGTGAGCATGTCGTTTAGTGTTTCTTGAGACGCCCGAATGAATGCTGCCTTAGCGCTGTTGTCGTTGGTGCTGTCTCTTTCTTCTGTTGGCATTGTTCACCGCTCTATCCAACCCAGCGCGATCTGTATTTTGTGTGTCGACTCTGGCATCGATTGTGCGGGCTGATCGACTTGGACCTTAGTTTGGGTGCTGACCCTTGTATTGCTCTCCCCCGCTCTGTCTGTTGTCCGTGCTGATGAAACGGTGGTACGATACCGTGCTGTTTTGCGTTGTCGCATCAGAAACAAGAACGACTGGAGAAGGTGGCAAAGGTAAGCGCGCCATGGGGTTTTCCAAGGAATGCTGTTAGGGGACGATTCAAGGGGATCGGGGGGTGGGGGTTATTATATTCCATTTCGTCAGAACGTGCAGAAGCAGTTATCCCCGCTCCTAGGACCCTTCAACATTGTGTTGTACCAATTGTCACCTCACCTCATTCAAATCACGGAGGCACGCCGCCGGTATGTTCTTTTGGCGTCGGCCTCACAATTGTAGTGTCGTGACAATTTCAAGGTTTCTATGCACATACGATCGACAGAGGAATGAAAAGTGTTGGCAGTAGGTTCCTCCTCTCTCGCGGTTACAAAGAAGCCATCGTGTTGAGGAGTAGAGTCAGCGAACCGAAGGTAGCAGCAACAACGTTCTTTGACACCGCTTGTCCCGCGCTTTCCGTCTTGTTCCTCTAGGCGGCGGCAAAAGCAAAGGCAGCCGCAGCCGCAAAGGAGGAGCAACCAGCACAGCCAGTAGAGCCAGTGGAGCCGGTCGAAGCTGTGCCTGATGGTTTCGAGATGGTGGAGATTAACGGGCGCATGGTCTTGAGGATGAAGTAGACGCAAGCAGCGGTTTTAGAGCTACAGTAATATTTTAGAGGCGTGGTTTCGTGTGTTTCGGCGTGATGAGGGTTGTGACTGACGAGTCGTGGAGTCCGCGTGTTGTCATGCGATTTTTCGCTGGTCTAGCTGATTGCGTGATAGACTTTTGATTGGGTTTCTGAGATGAGCTGGGGCGTCATCCTTCGGCGGCGGCAGCAGCAGCAGCAGCAGCAGCAGCGTTCAGGCGTTTTAGAGGATTGATCGGTTTGTGTGTGTTTTGAGTGTGTTCCTTCTGATCACTGGCAACAGGGTCGCGCGTTCGGCTGTCTAGGAAAGGGGGGGGTTTCTCTCGCACCCGGACTTTATTTCAGCTCTCGTGTTCGTTTGTTCTTCCTCTTACCTTTGCGTGCTGGTGCTCTCCGCGGGCATGCCACGTGGCTTTAGAAACAAGTTTTAGTATGTGCTCATCGAGTTGTTTTCCAGCAGGCTTTAGAATCAATCCACAAACGCGCCCGGGACCCCTGCCTCTCTTGGAGTGACAGGCGATAGGATCACAGGTAGTGTGCTAACCCGTCATGACACATTTGTAGACACGCGGCTTGAGATTGGGAAGAATACCTCGACACTACCGGTGCCTGGGTTTTTATTTTCGGCGTCGTTTTTGTTTCGGTCCGGGGGAGAGGAAAGAGCCAAGCGCGCTGACGAGAACGCAAGCACGCACGCGCCGCGGTCCGCTAAGGACCACGTGCGATGGCAGTGCAACGGCGGTAGAATCGGTGGGGGGGCTCAGGGACGTTTGAAGGATCATTTTCCTGCGGAGATGGAAATGGAGGCCGGTGCCGACAGCAGTGGGCATTTTGTCCGACGATGCGGCGGAGGCGTGTAAGGGTGCGTGCGAACAAAAGTAGCTTGCGGACGAAGGGGGTTAAGATACGATACAGATGGGCGCGTCTCATGGCCATGAATAACTCTTGTTGTCTTCGTTTTCTCCTGTGCTGCTACGAACGCGCCACGTACCTTCGGCCACGACGCGGGAGAGAGGGGCTGCACACTTTTTATCAGAAACGTGCTCAAACCAATGAGAGGGAGGGGACGGAGGGAGTAGAGAGGGTTTCGGGAGTGGTTATGCTTGGCAGGCACCCGTGTTTCTGCTGCACAGGCCCGGGTTGTTGGTACATTGTTCGACGAATGTGTCGTCGTATTCACGCCTTGACTTTGGCGATATTCTTGCTGCGCAGGTTGATTCAGGTCGTGGCGATACGGATGATAAAAACAACGAAAAACGCCTCAGAAAAATGTTTGTATTTTTTTTTCTCCCATACTTCCTCTTTTGTGTGTTCGACAAACATGCATTTCCTGCCCATCCTGATTCTTCTCGTCAGGCCGCGATTGGCTCGTACGCAGAGGTGTGAGTGGAAAGCATGGCCGCGGTATGGGTTCTTTAGCCCTCGCGTAGTTGTGGTTTTGCCACAGAATGAGATCCCTACTTGGAGGTTTGGCCCATGGACACGCCTCTGCAACACCTCGTAGTTTCTTTGGCCGAACAACATTCAAACTACCATCCGCAAAACAACAACGGTCGCGACACGCCACAACTATAACCTTTGTAACTCGTCGCGGCGTCAGAGAAACACTAAGAGACACAGCGCTGACAGTTGTGAATAGAAAATATAGATCGGGTTGCGCTGCGTTGTCGCACAGGTCCACGAGGCGAGACAAAACACGAAACAGGGGAAGTTTTCACCCCACAACACTACTTCACCCCGCTGCCCCCCTCTTCTGGATCAAAGTTCGCGCGACGAAACAAAACATAAGCCTCGGCTCATTCCGGTCACTTCGACTCGGCCGTTGAATCCATCAAATCCAGCAGATCGTCCAAGCCATCGTCGTCGCCTGGTCTCCCGCAGTCTTCACCATCCCCACCCTTCGCTCCCGCTGTGCCGTTGACCCCGCCACCAGCCCTCCTTGTTGTGTCTACCCCTTTCCTCCCACTGCCGTTGCTGTCGTCGATGTCGTCGGACAGGTCGAGTTCCCGGAGCATCTTGGCGCACCCCGTGTGGCTCGAGGCGAGGTCGATGGTGACGGTTTGCCCCTGACGGTAACGTGCATGCGCATGCCGTTAAATATGCGAACGACGATAGACTGTATGGATGGCTAATAACCGCACAGTCCATAACAACACCCATGCACGATGGCCAACCGCAAGGTCTAAAATGTGCATGCACGGAGCACGGTGCAAGGAACCCGAGAGCATCCATGGACAGGGATAGGTGCGATGCCGTCGTTGTGGTTTGTAGCTGCTCGCTTGGTGTTTGTGGTTCAGGGCACGTAGGTCAAGCATGCCGTCATTTCTTCGGAGCTATCGATGTACAGTCCAAGAAGTTAAGCCTCCCCGTTCGAAAATTAATCGCATTTCGTCGTCTCAGAATACGAACGTGGAGAACGATCCACCCATATATAAAAGCAGCATCCAAGGTCCGTTCTGAGAATACGCACGCCCTTGCTACTCCCGAAAGCTCGCCCACAAAAGCAACAAGGCGCCACAGAGGGACACAAACCTATTTACCTCCAAATCGCCATCATCGCCCCCCTTTGCCTGAGCCGCGTCGAACGGATCTTCGGGAAACAGATTGATCTTGAACGAATCTCTCTGCCCACCCCGCCGTTTGGCGCCTCCCCCTCCCCCCCCCCGGTCGTCGTCGCCACCTTCGTCCTTTGCTTGTGCCCCCAGTAGGGCCGCCAGAAGGTTAAGGCCGGCCGTTGCGGTGCTGGCGCCCTCTCCTTCCTTGCTCTCACCTTTGGAAGTCACCAGTCCGGGGAGGGGGTCGCAAGGGTCGGGACAAAGGGGGGTGCGGGGGGCGAGATATGAGCTTTGTCCAAGGGTGGGGGCGAGGTGGCGACGGGTTGGGGACGGAGGATGTTCCCTGAAGCACTGCGGTATATAGGTAGTAGGTCTAGGCGTTTTATCTCAGCCGTGTGTGTAAGGGGATGTTCTACACATGTGATGGGCATACGCACCCCCCCAACACCCGGTGCCAACAGCCAAAGGCTTGCCAAATACATGCACAACCACCACCAGGTCCACTCCTCACGTTTGTCATCAGACGTAGTTCTGCCAATTTTTCTCCTTGCTGCCTCTGCCACCGCCGCCGCTGCCGCCTTCGTGGCTGGCGTTTTCATGCCAACAGCACCGGGATCCAGAGCACCGTTCGGGCTCTGTTGGAGGTTATCGCAACGATGCGCGAGCACGGGGTGATTTGATCAGTTGGACAGGGAAGTGGAGAGGAAAAACAGCAGTGCGCGATATTATTATGACCTCTGCCCTTACATTTTCTCGTGGGCTAAATTTACCGTTATATCGCCCCGTAGACCGACCGCGGAAGCGAGAGGGTGGTCGGGTGGTAGGTTCGAATTGAATGCGTTCATTCCCGGGCAGAGCATGCGATGATGACTGCGAGGTTGGAGGTCGTGTTGTGGCCATATTTTGAGTAATGTACTTGGCGCGGCTTCCCTGCTGCTCTGAACGCAAGCACACAATGTGCGGCAGCGGCGTTGCCCCACACACACATATAGACAACGTCGGAGAGAGAGGTGGGGTGGTCATGCAATATTACGCTGTCCCGAGTGCTGTGTTGAGCTACTGCGTGGTAAAAGGTGAACGTGTGCTTAGCACCGAGTTGAAGGCCTCACGTCTACCTATCTCCCGTCACACGCACCGGCTCATAGAAGTTGGTGCCCATCGGGCTGTCGAAGTCAACGTAGGTGGTCAGAGATCCGTGGACGGTATCAGCGGCGGCCATCGGAAGCAACACCACGGCCTCGTCCGCGTCTGGCACACACGGCGCCGCCCCGCACGCAATGTTCGTTTCGATGTTTCCGAGATCGGGGGACGGGGATTGATGCGCGAAGGTTAGGAAGTGGAGTTTAAGGGCTACAGGAGGACGTGATAGTCGGGTTGCGGATTTCTGTGTAACTGCCGCTTCACTACATCTCACTTGGCTCGTTTTAGCCTCTGCTTGGTTCTCCCCCTCCCTCACCCTACTACGTTGTTAAACCTGCCTTTGTTGCCGTCTTTCCTCTCCCCCTGCTTTCTCTCTCTCTCTCTCTCTCTCACCTCCCGACCCAAGGTATCGAATCATCCCTGGGGTTTCCGCCCCGACAGGTAGTTTTCCCGTCGGATCGAGGACCAAAGTTCCGTTTGGCAGCTGCACTCCGTGCTGCAGAAAGAGAGATATCTGTTGGATAGTGGTGAGAACCGTGGAAGACCGGGGGCGACGTGGGTGGGAGCAGTTGTTGCGAACAAGGCCTTAGGGTGGTACGTACAAAACTTGACAGGAACCAACGTTGTCTGTGTGGGACTTGGGAATGGCTGCTTCGAACATTGCTTTAGATACGTTTCCTTAGGGATCTTCCGTTTCCATAGGTCTTTTCCGGAAGAGCTGTTTTAGAAATCGGCGCTCTTATGATCTATTCTGTATCAGTTCTCCTCGTCGATGGTTGGATGCCTACACTTATCTTTCGGCTGCACGGGAAACTTGCTACAGGCTTGACTTGGGACCCTATTAGTATGACGAGCACAGGATACCGGGTCTACCGCTGCGCTCCAGGTCAGAGAAGACGCTTCCGGTAGGTGGTGAGCGATGTTTTCTGGTGCCATTGCTGCTTTTTCTGCAGAAAGTGGTGGCGCACGAGGTCTGCCACACAAACGTTTTGGTCGTTGCAATCTCGCAGTGGGGTCCAAGGTGGTCGCCCCCCCGCCGCCTACCCTCAGATGACACCTCGTGTCTTGCGTCCAATGTCCAATGTGTAGACTATGACCCCATGCATCCGGCGTGAAAAAAGAGGCAAAGATCCGGTTCAGATTAAATGCCTTGCTGAATCCGAACGACCGACAATTCAACCAGCACTAAACATGGGGCCCTCGACCCCCCCTCCCCCCCCCAAGATGCCGAACACCCTTAGCAGGATGCAGCGCACCCTTCATGCAACTCGCCGAATACCTCACGGTGATTCGCGTTTGGTAATGTGAGAGCCTGGTCCGTAGAGAACCCGGCGTGCTCCGTCCCGGCTTTGCAGGGATGCGAGGTAACTGGTCCAACGACTACGGCATGCACGACTATGAGTACCCCCCCCCACCCTGCGGCGCCCCCGCCGTACTACGCCCCCGCCTGGCCAATTTCCTGCTTGTCCCACCTTGACGCGCCGGCCTTGAAAGAACTCCAGCAAGCGTTGCCTGAGCTGCATCCAACCAAAAGTGTCCAGGTGCCGGTATGCTGCGATCGTCGTCTTGCCGGCAGGGGCAAAAACATTCGTGTCATGGATAGCGCAGAGCGAAAGAAGGGAACAGTCTGTCATGAGCTCACTGTTCCTTGCTCGGACGACCGCACCTTTCGGTGGGAGTGGGGCTGGGGTAAAGCACCGAAAACCCATTGTGTGTTCGTGTTTCTGCTCTGGGCTGTGCTGTGAGTATACGTGTGCGATTGTAGGAAGCCACCTTGGCCCGCCGCGTTCGAGACTATCTTCTGCGGGCGAGGGACTTGTTCGAAGTCTTCCGATGTTTTTCTCTAGAATCTCCACGAATCGGATTGAAGATACGCTCTACCGTACTGCGCCACGCTCATAACTATCACCAGCGTCACCACGACCCCGTCTCTGTTCTCATTGGCCAAACATGCTCCCTTGCGTGCACATCAGCAGGTCCGCAAAAACAATAAAAACACAGTAAAAGAACACAGCACCAGGGTTTGGTCGCAGGCCTCGGCGGCGTCTAAAACTCGCCAACATCCAAGGGGAAGTGCGATTTTCCCAAGTCTTCGTGTGTATGAGTTCTCCATGTACACCCCAAACTTTGCAGCTTCTCGAAAGACAGATGATGAAACAGACATCAGTAGCTTGGTCAATACTCGAGCTGGTACAGTTAGCAATTACGAAGACGGGCCAAACTTATTTGGCAGGCACCAACCTCGATAACTGCGTCGACTCGGGAAGCGAGGGGAGGCACCATTTCTTTTATAGTCTCCAAGTGGTTGAGCGTCACCTGCAGCAACTGCTGAGGCTGGGCACAGGACAAAGCCTGCCAACCAAGACAACAAGAAATAAAAATTAGTCGGTGGCACACATTATTTAATGTAAGGTGGTGTTCGTGTTCGGTCGTAGTGCGAATATCGTGTTGAAGAGCCACATCTGGGTACTGTTGTTGCTTCAAATCATGAAGCGCTCTCACCTGGGTACCATCAGGCGCATTCTACCGAGTACCATGCCGAGATATTCGAATCAGCTACACAAAGTGCACATGCGGCCTCGAAACGAGAACCTCTACACTACATAAAATCTGTGGTCGCTTTCGCCCATGCCACCATTTACCGGACGCAAACATGCCGTACGATCTATTACGTTAAAGATGGTGGGGCCCCGTGAGACACCATAGCGTTGTGTGGTACCTGGTACTTGACGCCCATGGTGACGAGGTCGAAGAGCTTGCTCATGCTGGATTCGTTTAGCCGCATTATGGAAGAGTGTGCAAGCTGTCCTCCCCGCAGATCAGTCGCATGCGAAACGGGCAACAACAACAACAACAAAAGCGGCATTAGCGGTACTTTTAGCTAATACAAGTGTAATGAACGAGTGCTACCTTTAGGTTCTCAACCCCGAAGCCGGGAGCAACATCCGGGAAAAAATGAGTCCTCACAACATGTAGCTGCCAACAGCATCCAAGTGTAGTTTTCAAACACGTGCCATTTGTTATCTCGCCCACGCTTCATCGAGCAACACGCTTCCCAAAGCGTATATACGTGTGGCGTGTACATACACGTCCCTCTACTATGGCCAATGAAGAAAACACACGCGTGATTTCTTCGTATTTTCGTTTGATCGTAAGCGGGCAGCACGTCTGGAACCATGCATCTAGATAAATAGTCTAAAGCTCTGGACGGAAAACAAGTTGAGTCAATGCCCACGAGTGTACGCCCTTTCACACACCTTGTAGAAGACCTCTTTCGTAGCCTTTTCGCTGTACATGTCCTGCGGCTTGAAAAGCTCTTCCACGAACTACCGTTTAGTAGGAGCGACGAGGGGAGGAAGGTGTGAGCTTTGTGTGGGCGGTGGTAGCGATGCTTTGAGCATGCTCAGCCATCTGCTGTGTAAGAGTGTTACGCTGTCAAAGATGCGGGGGCTATATATCTTGCTACAAATCTGCATGCCGATGTGTCGGCCGCACAACACTCCTTCAAGGGTATTGGCCATACCTTGAGCACATGCAAACGTCGCAAGGAGCAGCGCAATAATCTGACTGCGAATTACCCCCGCGCACCGCGACTCTTTGTTGTAGCGGCAACAATATCCAAGATCTTTACGGCGACGGCCGACCGGTGCGAAACCCCAACTCGTTCTCCGGCGGTAGTTACTCTTGACGGATAAGAACGAACATAGGGCAGGCGGCACCTGGTGAGCATACATGGTGCCGATAACGTCGCGAAGCACCGCGGTTCTCTTGTCTTCGACCACGTTCTGCGCGTTCAACCGCTGATGGAGAATATTGACCATCTCTCCACCCATATTGAGCACCACCATTGGGAGAACGAGCTTCATCCCACTCGTCATTGTGTCCTGCCGCCTATGGTGATTCTTCTTCTCCCATGTACCTCAGTACTTACGGCTCAACCGCTTCGCACGCGTGAGGATACAGGAGTAGTGGCAGAAGCAGGGATGGATACAAACCGAGCAGAGAGCAGAGGCGGCGACACGGCGACGTCAACAAATAAATGCGGCGCAATCCGTCGATGCGGCGCAATCCATCGTCATCAGCGGGGAAAAAAAATATCTGCGTTGCTTCGTTGCTTCGTGACTTTGTGGCTTTGTGAACCCGCGGCCCGCGGCCCCAGTTATGCGGTAGTGCGGCGTCCAAACATAAACATATACCGAAAGGTGTAGACTGGCGTCCAGATTTATGCTGTAGATAGAATGATAACTAACTGTTGAGGCCTTTGATGTGGTGGAGAGCGGAGAGTGCCTCACTGGCAGAACCTGTCATGCTTCGGTGCGCGCACACGCGGTGTAATTTTCGACGGGGGACGCGGGCCGCGGGACTATACGGCTGTGGAAGTACTGTGGGATAGCATTGCGGGCCGGCCCCCGTTTGTTTCTTTTCCGGCTGTTCTCAACCACAAATCTGTTGTGTATCATTAACGTTTGAAGATGAAACGAAATTGCGGCTTCTCCGTGATCAATTGACTACGCATCGCTGCGACTGTTGTTCGTGACCAGAAATAAACAATGTAGACTAGTTCCGGTATTATTGTAGGCTGCTGCTGGCGTATGATGTGTGTGCACGGAGTGGACCACATGTGTGCCATGGCAACCAACCTACCGACAAAATATACATTGAAACAAATGGCAGACTGAGATACAAGAACATGTTGTCTTGCAGTCCGTGACATGGGAGTCGGTTATAATCGAGTGGGAAAAAAGTACTTCGCTTGTTCTTCGTAAAATAAATGCAGTGCTCCGCTATCTGTCACCACGCACCAAGTATCGTAAGTGAAATCTACATGATATTGAGTATACAGTAGACAACATCGGATTGAATGGCGGACACGGTTCGTTGTTCATTTGTTCGCGCTTGGAAACCGCATTTTTGCTTGTCTCCTGGAGCAGCACCAACAGCCGCAGCGGACGACGAACAAGGTCCATGGTCACCAGGACTAAAGATACTTAAGTATATCTATTTAGTCTAGCACAGCTCTACTAGTGCTATAACTCAAACGGCCGACGTGCTCATCCAAACGGCCCTATCCATCCTGGATCGGCGTAAGATAGGGCGGTGGTACGCCACATTATTAGAGGAGTGCAAGACCGAAACACCATGTTGTACACACCTGTGAATCAAACGAAGCAGGACCAGCGCACACGGGTGAGCCCGAAGGCCAGGGGGCGAGCAAGCAGAGTGTGCGTGCAAAACAAGCTGATTGATCCACCATGCTGTAGTGCATTCGAACTTTGATTGGGGTACAGTGCGCGCCCGCTGACAAGAAACGTAAACATGGGTTAGGCTCGATTTCTTATTTCGTCGGCACTGACTGGTTGTCGAACGTGTAGGGCTTTGAAAAGGCTTTAGTCTAGAATCGAATATGGAGCCATGTTTCTTGGCCCGATTTCCTTGATTTTCGGGGAAAATTGGGCCTCATTTTCTTTTGAAACTTTCTTAAGAGCGGGCGCCCACACTGTATGTTTTTCAACGTGTAGGGCGGCATTTTCGTGCAAGTATACAACTCGAAAACTCTACACAAGGTTAAGGTGTGACCCCAATGAGCATGTCCAGCACGTGCCAAACGTATATATCAAGCAAAGCGTTTCCAGGCCCCCCAGCGTCTACTGCTATGGAGTGTTTTGTTTTTGCTCATAATACATATTCGATTGAACCCGTGTTGGCCACATCTGTCAGTGTTGCCGACGCCAAGACGACGGCTCGAACGTGGGACCCCAGGCGAAAGCTGGCGTCGGTTGTTCCTCGGGTGCCCGTTGCCTTTTGTACAATTCAAGGTTCCAAGCTCGTTTCTTGAACCCCTGTTTGACCCTGTTTTTCTCTCCTCCCCCCACTCCCTTCTTGAACTCGGCAACCAGGTTACCGTCTTTTTTTTTTACCTCTGTTTTTTTTTTGGCGGTAACCATAATGGTGGTCGAGTAGATCATGTTGTGCGGGGTCGAGAACCCTCACTCCGCGCAACGGGGGATGATCGCACCACGTTGTGTTAAAATGGTCAAGCTTCCTCGAGGCAGTTACACAGTGCTTACAACTGTCTCTGGAAGTGAAAGCACCAGAAAATAAATTAAGTCATACGTAGCTGTCATCCGTACGCAAGGAAGTAAGCACAAGATGCCGAACACCCTTAGCAGGATGCAGCTCACCCTTCATGCGACTCGCCAAATACCTCACGGCGCTTCGCGCTTGGTGATGTGAGAGCCTGGTCCGGTGAGAACCCGGCGTGCTCCGTCCCGGCTTTGTAGGGATGCGAGGTCAACGGTCAAACGACTACGGCATGCACGACTATGAGTACACCCCCCCCCCCCACTCCCTTCTTGCCTTGTCTCGGGTCTGGACTAGTCTTTGTATACTCGACCGTTCAGCTTCCTATTCCGGTGTTGTTGTCTTGTTTCCCGACTTCCTCGAAAAATGCAGACATGGTGTGGCAGGCCTGGGCGATACACAACACGTATGACAACCCAAGCACCCGGATCGCAGTTACGGTAGGTCGAACGTAGTACTTTTTTTTTCCCGCCTAGTCTACATGATAATGTGCCTTCATGGGATTGATCGTATTGAAGCCGTTGCCCATATTGGTACACATAGCAACCGCTCTTCTCTGAGGTTAATTCTGTTGAAGATTTCCAAACTTGGGCGCCGCTGTTCGCCGTCACTCTTGAGACCTCGTTCAACAACGCACTGGCTGGCGGGAACACGGAATGCCGCAAGTAAGTGTGGTACCGATCCGTTGAACGATATGGTCCGATATTTGCCTCAAAAACTTGGACCCATCGACTCCCAGGAGCCCGGGGTGCTCGGTTTTCCCCAGCAAAAAGGTCTGACACCGAGCGTCCAGATGAAGTGGCACCTACACCACACTACTTGTACCTGTGACATAATCAGCCATGCGCAAAATATGTTCACCCTAAGATCCCGAGTGGATTCGGGTTTTGGTGGGGAGGTTTTGCGAGTACTGGTATGAACAGCTTTTGCCGCCTCCAGTAAAATTTCTACTAAATCCCTTGTTGTCTAATAGGTCCTACGAATGATCCATGGAAGCAACCTGCCAGACCCGAGGCGTACATGCCACAATGCCGTCGGCTCGTTGTTTTTCCTGGCTCCAGCTGTTCTGCCGCACCTGCTCATTCTCTAGGTAGATCGTTCAACGCGACCGCACATCGCCCCTGCTGACACGTCCCGTCCATGCTCGGCCCCAACTCAGAATGATCGGTTCGAGTTCCCGTTTATTTCAGTGTGCGTCTTCCCCGGTGAGGGGTGCGACTGGTCAGATGGAACCGTCGGCATATGCGTGGAAGACGCCCTGGGTTTCTCAACCGTTTTTTATCACGACGGCGAAGAACATCCCACCCTTGTTGTAGCAAGCCAGGTACGTTCGTTATCCAACCAGCAGGAAACTTTGTCATCGCCAGTCGACTCCCGACGGTCTGTGGGGAAAGACGCGCCCAGGCGCGGCTGGAAGAACGGCCGCGGTCAGTCGGAAGGCCTAGAACCGCCCCCCACCCAGCTGTTCCGCGATGACCAGTACCGTTTGAAGTGGCATGGGTCTCAGAATGCAAGCTGAGGCTCTTAGTTTCCTTCCCCTGCTGTGAATAAGGAGGTATTGTAGCGCATGGTCTGCGGCAAGCATTTCTATCGGTACTCGCCTGGATTAGGTAGAGGATCTGTCGTCGTTTTCTTTCTGTTTCCCCAAAGTTCATCTGGATCCGGTGGTGAGAGGTGGGAGCGAGGTGGAGGTCGCCAGGCTTTGGGAGTTTTGTGTAGGGAGTTTTGTCAATAATTTACTTGTTCAAGAAGTTTTGTCAGTTCACATGTAACCGGCATCTTGCTCTGCTTGCTGCGCGTGGGTTTGTGCCAATGTCAGCATTTGATGATGTTTTGCTTGCCACGGGCGAAAGGTTCCTGCCTTTAGAAATTCCGTGTTGCTTTATCCCTTGGGTGTCATTATGGGTGGTTCTGAATCGACCAACTCAATCTTGAGCGGCGGCATTATCAGCTGGACACAAATGCGAACTCAATATCTTCGAACCTTGGAATGTGCCGTTGCTCAGGTACGTTCGTGCAGCGGACTTTGAGCGCTCAGCGAACGGCCGTAATAATGTGAAGCCAGTTCGACTTGTGTCGAAACGTCTATTAATAAGTTCACCCAGACGCTCAATAGGATTGAAGATACGTTGGCCATCGCGATGATATCAAACAAAACCCGCCGTCCATCGAACTGGTGTCCCGCGCATCGATTTCTCGGTGAGCAAGGGTTACCTCTATGCGATATCAAGATACCTCCGCGGCGTCTTGGTTTCTCTGAAGAGTATCCCCGTTTCCGAACCCTTCTCTCGCCACCGCCGCTGCAACATCCTGTGTTCCTACTTCCCTGTCATCTCTAGCTGCAACGGCGAAGAATCGCGGGACAGATGCGCGCAAGATTTGAAGTTACTGTGATGGTGTGTATCACTACTTAGAGTGGAACGACAAAGACAGGTGTCCAGAGCGAACCAAACTCGTTCGCATGATTGTGAGGCTTTAGTTAGGCGTAAGGCCGTGACTGCTGTAACGTAAAACCAAAACACGCAGCGGGGTATGTATATGCCGGAAAAAGGACTGTCGTGCTCGCGGGTAGGGACGGTGACCGTAGGGTTCATTTTCCCAGAAACGTGTGATTGATGTACGTGCGTATATTGACTGAGAACGGGCTAAGAACCACATGTGCATTTCAGCGCCGTCACCCGCGGTGCGCGGGACGTCTGGAGTCGCATGCATGCCCGTTAAGCTTCGCCTAGAGGTCAAGAGTGAAGCCGGGATTCGCTCAGGGCGTCAAAAATGTCAGATGGCGGTGGAATCGCTGTTGGCGTTGCATGGCGTCGCGCGAGTTCGACTCAAGTAAAGTGAGAGAGCTTTGTTGGAAGTGCTGTGGGGACGTTGGGAAACGTGTCTTGTTGTCTTGTTCCATTCATGCTTCCGTTAACACACTTTTTGTGCCACATCGGGTCAGTTGGACCGGTACGGGTGTTAGAAGGCACAGCACGGAACCACTTCTGATGCGAGGACAATGCATTCAGTTCATCATTCTAGGGTTCTCATCCGCTACTACTCTGACTGACGTACAACAACAGACGCCGCGGTTACACGCTTAACTTGTGCCAAACACGTAAATACCAAGGCCGTGTAATTACGTGACTGCGAGCGATGGACAATTCATCGGGGTAGACTAAACCAAAAGCCAAATCTTCTTGTAGCAGATGATTTGTCTTCCAGTACGGCAACTCCGCACTGAAGGAAGTCGAACGGATCAACTAAGACGCCTCGTGTGGGGGCTTACAAAGCAGACTCAATGAAGTCCAGCGTTCAACTCCACAGGGAAAAGGCTTCAACACACACCCTCTCCGAGAACAAGGCGAGGTGGTTTTTCTGTGATATTGTGCACCGTATATTATTTGCTGAAACCGCGACGAAGGGGATGCTCGAACAGAGCAAACCGTGACTTCCAAGAAGAAGAGGCAGCACCGTCAACCTCGTGTAAAGGCGGGGTAAGGATGAGAGATGATTTAGGTATGATTTGGTTTCAATGTTGATTTGAGTTCATCCTTGTCTACTAATCATCGTCTTCTTGGGAGGCAGTCGCAGGGACTGGACATCATCGACACACCCTTGTATCTAGAACGAAAAGGCCACCCCCGAACAAAAGCCAGCTAATGTAAACACCGTGATAACAGTCCAGAACGAAAAATCCGCCCCCGAACGAAGAATAATAGGAACTATGTTTACTCCTGAGCATCGTGGTACAGCCAACAAACGTGTACGGTCGACAAACAATGGTGTTCCCCGTTGCGCACGTAATCAACCCAGATCTCACCTTACACTAAGAGTAACAGGACCAAAATGGTCAGCAGTGAAATTGCAACCGAACGGTGGGGAAACTTGGCAGTGTTGGGCTACACAAAATACACACCAAACCAACCACCACTCCACCACGACGATCTCGCGCAAAAAACAACAACAAAACGACAACAAGCGCGCTACTACTGCTGTTGACACCGACGAGAGCAAACTACAGCTCGATCTCCTCGAAAACCGGAACCTGCGCCTCCTCCTCCGCACCAGGCCCGTTCGCGACCACAACGCTGCCACCCCCCCCCTGCTCGCTGGTGCTGCTCCCTAGAGGACCCTTCTGGAGACCGTTCTGAACGCCGTTCTCAATGCCGTTCTCCGGACCGTGGTCGGAAATTACGACGGACGTACCCACCCCCGCAGACACTGCCTCTACCTCGGCCTCGGCTTCGACCACAAGCGGTGACGGACCACCCCCTGCACTACCTCTCCCCATCTCCCTAGAAAATTCCGTTTCAGCGGTAGGTTCTTTCAAACCACCCGTGGAGTCGTCTGCGCCGGAACCGCTCGAGGTCCCGGCTGCGCTCGTGGACGAAAGGGTAACGGTTGCGCCGCCCTGCTGACGAACTCCAGCTGCCTCTGACGGCATAGCTCCTTCCTCGTCGGCTTCCGGCACAGCAGGCTCACCCCGCCCGATATCGCTCACTTCTTCCTGGCTCGGGTCTAGACTCCCCCGCTCCATGACCGCTCCCAACACAACGCCGCCGTCTTGCTCCCCCTCCTGCCGAACGCCGCTCGCGACGCTAGGCTCCACGACTACGTCAAGGGCGGGCTTCTCGCTCTTCTCCTCCTCCTCCTCCTCTTCCTGCCCCGTCCTCACATGGTCAGACACATCCCCCGGGGCGCCGTCCGCAGCAGGCTCTCCATCACTACTAGACTTAGCTGTCACATCATCGGCAGCCTGTTCCCCTTGGTCCCCTCCGCCCTCAACAGAGCCCCCTGCGCCAACGGCAGGCTCCTCTTCCGAAGGTGGCACACCCGCACCGTCATCCGGGTCCGGCACCACGCCTGCACCATCGTCGCCGCCTTCGAGACTCCCTTCTTCGGTAGGCGGCAACGATATCAACGCCGTCTTCTCCGCCGAGTCTGGCGACGAGCCACTCACCCTAGCCTCCGGCGACGGAGAGGAGGTCAGCACCGCTTCGGAGGACGGCAACGGCGACCCCGCCCGCTGCTCATCGGCGGAGTCTTCGGCATCGATGCCGCCCTCCCCTAGCGCCTTCTGCACGACTCCGAGCGCAGCGGGGCTCGTCTCTTCGTCGGGCAGGCTGGCGTCTCCCTCCTCCTCCATCCGCGCCTCCCCCGCCACACGTGTCGCATCCGCCGACTCAGGGGCGTCGTGCCTCTTGGGAGACAGCTCCCGTTTGTCCGGGGTGATCTCAAGGCCGTCGATGCCGATGAGGTCTCCACCCACGCCCTCCCCCCCTTCCCCCCCCGACAGCGTCGCCTCCGGCGGCTCGGAGACACCTCCCGTCTTTGGAGAGGCCCCGCGCTTGTCGGGGGTCTCCTCGAGGGTGTGTTTCGTGTTCCCGACGCCGAGGGCAGCGTTCGTCCCCGCGATGAGCCAGTCCACCTGTTTTCATTTCGTCCAAGACCCGCAGCGTCGAGTTTAGGTAAAAATTTTCACACATTTGAATTCACAGAAAAATACACACGCACCCGCAAAAACACAGCGTACAGTATTTGATCAGCCGGTTAGCGCGGGCGATGCTAAATGAAGATTCAAACACAACCAAAAGTTGAAGGATCTCGTGTAAGGCGAGTACCTACACATATACATCCTACGGAGAACGTTCCTCTAGGCGCCGTGGCACCGGGCGCATCGCCGGCATCGGACAGACTCGGCATCGACCGCAGAACAACGACACACATACGTACGGGCCAGCCGACTACGGGAACAACCAAACAACAAGCCCTCCCTCCCCTCACCTCCGCGAGAAGCATGTCGGCCGAGGCCGGGTCGTCTTCCTCCTCCGCGCCCGGAGCAGCAGGCACCACGGACGCTCTGCGGGCGGCGGCCAGCTCCGGCGGAGGCGTCGTCGCCGACCCAAACCGACTGCCGCGCCAGTCGCGCTCGTTCGGGAAAAACGCCCTGTCAGAGTGGGAACTCCCGTCCCCTTCCCCGTCTAGGGGCGGGGGCGTGCGCAGGCTCAGCCGCGACGACGGGCCGCTTCGCGAGTCCACGGCACCGGTGCTCTGGCGCTTGAACCCTCGGACGCTGCGGGAAGGAGCGCTGCCCCTCCCCGCCGCCGCCGCCGCCGCCGCCGCGCCGTTCTCATTGGCGCCGTTCGGGGCTAACGAGGGCATGCCGGTGAGGGCCTCCTCCGACTCCTGCACGAGGCCGTCGATGCTGCTCAGCAGGTCGCGCACTCGCTGCGTCTGGGTGCGGCGATGGCCGTTCTCGGGCGACGGCGATCGAGACGAGTCCGGTCTCGGGCTGCTCGGGGAAGGGCTTTTCTCGTCAAGGTTGGCGGAAGCGCTGCGATTGCCGCCGGCTATCTGCAAACCAGGCCCTCCCGCTGCCGAGCCGGGCGAGCCGCAGTCGCTGTCCATCGCCGCCACCCCTGAAAGGCAGGCCATACATGTGACGGTACGACAGAAGTCAGCTAGGGAGCGTCCTCGTGGTGTGTGTGATATCAATAAAAGTCTTGCCTTGAGGATGCCTGTGGGCAAGTATAAAACGTCAACTATACTACAAAATATATACTGTGAGATTCGGAAATTCTGGTAAAACCCCAACGTCATGTCATCCACACCTCACATCACATCAACATGGCCCCTTGTTCGTGAGTATTGGACCGCGAGGTGCGTCGTAATCGAGACGTCGACCGTAAAACCATGCGAAGCATGTACTCCGTAGGCCAAGAAAAAGAGCACGGGAAAAAAAATCTCTCGGTACAATGAGAGTAGTAAATAAACAACAGATGCGGCCAGCTTCATCAAATGCATCTGACATAAAACAGGGTACAGCGTAGATGGCGCCCAAGCCACTGTAGACTGCTGTGAAAGCACGTGGTAGAGTCGGCGCCGCAAGCCAAGCTATGGATAGCTGTGCCTGTTGAACCACACTCTAAAAGAACTACAGTAGCACGGGATGCAGTCTATATTCATGCGTGCGCCCTCACGTTTACGCAGTCCGTGTGACGGGCTCCCTCGTGCCGATGACTCGGACGAGGATCGCTGGCAATCGTGTCCTCCCAAAGCCCGTAGCCCCGCCACGTCGGCGATCTCTTCCAAAATCTGGAGGGGCAGCAGCAGCAGCAGCAGCAGCAGCAGCAGGGCGGCGGCGTTAACGTCACGGGAAAGCAAGGTCGTACATCGACACGTCGTTGTCGTTGCCCGTCAGTCTTCCCCCGGGAGGAGGATCGGCGCGTGACCTTGAAGAACCGCTCAACAACGACGCAGTGGAAAGAGCGAGCAGGCGTTTTCGATCAAAATTCGGCGTGCACTGTTGAGAACCTCGCACACACACAACACACATTCCGTATGGAGATATCACCAGTACAAGACTTGGGTGTCACGGATGTGCGTATACTACAACCAAAACGACACACACCCAAGGAAGGGAGCGTGCCTACCACCGCTCGCGCCTAAACAACCCCCCCGGACCGCCCCAACAAGCCAAACACTTGGCCGAGTCGCACACACCTGGTCCTTCCGCAGCTGAAGCAGCCGCTTGTACCCGGAACCCGGCGACAGCAGCAGCTCCACCGTCATGAAGATGAACCCCGAGCGGCGCCCGTCCTGGATAGTGTCAGCGCAAAGGTCGTCGAACAGCTCGTTCTCCACATCGCCCGCCTCGCAGATATCGTCCAGCATCCGAAACAGCTCCAGCTGAACCGCGGCCACCAGCATCTTCCCGAGCTCCCGCTCGCGGTCTGGGGTTAGCTTGTCCGACCTATTGGGAGGGGAGGGGTGGGGGGGAGGGGGGCTTCAGACGCAACACCCGAAGGATTTTCGGCTACTACTGTTGAGGTCAGAAAAAATATTCTGATGTCGTCCTTTCTGTCTGTTGTCCGTATCTCTCTCGCAAGATCGACAATTATATATTCAATGAACCCGGAGCAAACATCACGCTTGAGACACCTTGAGAAACCTAGACACGGGGACCCCTACCTCCACCTCAATCCTACTATACTGTCGAATACCCTATTTACTTGTGGAGACGAAATAACAAAGTGCGGTCGCATCTCCTCAAAGTCTGTCGAGGGGGATTGATTCCATCTCTTCGCATCGGTGTCGACAAAAGAGACATGTCTGATTCTGGCGGCAACAGAACCAGGTTCGATTCCGCCTCCCACGTACAAACGGTGGGGGACCGAATTGAACGGATCTAAGCTGCCTGACACAAGGTATGCTGGAAGCGCAGGATCCTTCTTGTTTTATTCTTACTGCTATTTTCATCTGTGTACTGTCTGACTGCTGTGTCTCACGTGGTGCTGTCCATGCTGTCGCGTTCCAGGATACCGTAGAGAGCCAACGTTCGCACCAGTCCATCCAGACGCTTCACCTGGGTTCGTTCGTAGGTTGTGAAAAAATTAAGGGCGGTCGGTTCGTGCTCGGGGTTTCTCGCGCGTGCGCAATAGCAGCAGCATAAGCAGCAGTGTCGATGAGCCAGAGGAGAAGACAAGCGAGCCAGGAGGCGGTTTCAGGGTGACGTTGAACCGCACACTCCCATCCCCCCCAACGCTGAAACATCGAAAAACGTTCGTAGCACCAACAGTCTCTCTTGTTACCACACAAACCATTTCGGGCAAGACACTTGCGCCTACGACAGGGCAAGCTCGCTGAGCTGATTTCGACGTTTTAGCTGTACCTTGGTAGGGGAGAAAGCTCTCCCAACGTTACATGATGTGTGTAGGTTGAGACTCACATCCGCCTCGAGCCGCTCTTCCTCTTCCTCGACCGCGTTCGCCTGGGCGAAGACAATCTTGAGGCGGATCTCCGGCGGCAGCACCCGCTCCTCCATAGCGTTCAATGATATCCGCTCGAAGTCTTTACAATACAAAACAAAACAAAACAAAAACGCCAAAAGTCGGGAGGGTTCAATGAGGGAAGTAGTATTGGTGTGTCAATGTTCCTCTCCCAGCCGGTGGTGTATTCGGCGTACTCAACATGGAGAACCTTACTTTGAACCTGATGTATGCGTGCGGGCATATGTTCCAAGGTTTAATTTCTAGGGTGACATGTGCCTCCAGGCTTCCAAGTGCCTTCGAATCTCGTGTGCACCCACGGCAAGCCTTTTCTTAACCGTGCTAAGGCCTTCGACGCCTGGCAAGGTGGCATGGGGTTCGAGTGTGGATGGTGGTGATACGTGCCACGTGCGCCGATCGTTGGTAGAGATGGACAGAAAGGTTTGTGGTTGAACAACCATCGATTCCGGTTCTAGTCGGTGAGATGTCTCTTGTGTCAGGAAAAACGGAGGCACGTGGGCACAACTCCGCCGAAACATACTGCTGTACGTACCAAAAGTGTACATGTTTTCTGTTTCAGGCTGGAATGGCGCTACATGGTACATGATCTTTCGCCGTGTCGGCTCTGGAAGTGTACGACATTCCATTTGGGATTATGGGATACACGACATCTTACAACGATATCCTGGCTTCGGCTTTGGACTTGCACATTTTTTTTTTTTTATCTAACCCCTTTGTTGCGTCGTGGCTTCTTAGGTACGGGCAATGGCGTGTGACTGAGTAGCATAGTGGATAAGTCTTTATCTAACATTGGCGTGTGTTCGCAAAGCGTTTGTAGGAAAGAAGTTTGTGGTAGAATTGCGGACAACGCCTATTCTTAGGGTCTCGGAATCCTACCGGCGGGGACCATCTTTTTTTCCCGCTGGCACTAAGCTTTTCATTGGCCAGCAGCGTGCTTGATGCAAACTGCAGACATGCCCACATCGCACACACCTTAGCGTCGTAGACGCGAAAATCACACCCTTGTACAGTTCATGTGTGTAGCGAAACCAGCGAAAATGGCTTCTGGTACCAAACTGTTTGGTCTACGTCTTTTACTTGCTTTCAGACGGAACACCACACAACTGCGGGCGCCCATGACCTTCGGCCCTATCTATTGTACGTGTATGACGTGCGAAAACAACCACCAAAACTCGATGATTTTTCGAGTGGGGCAGCAGCGGGTTGATGCAGTAGCACACGTTCGACGACATTTCGAGAAATCGTCCTTCGCCACTCCGCCCATCTTAGAAGAGGCTAAATACGCCGCAACCCTGCACGGGTGTGTGCGTGGGCGAGGACTCCGAAACATGAACGCGTACAGCACACGACCGACGCTGTAACATGACACCGCTCGTGATTGTGCGATAGCAAGTCGAAACTGCCAAACCAAACCAAAACTTAGGCATGCGCGGCAGAGGAAGCGGAAGTGCGTTGAGCGGGCCTGCTTCTAGACACCCCCTCGCACAAGGCTAAGCAACACTAAGGCTTTTGACGCATTCTGTGCTCGTCAAGTCGTTTCATTTCATCGAGACCTTCGCTCCAATCGTATGCATCAGGTGGTATGCATACAACGTACACCAGCGACATGGTCCACAGCTGTCCAGCCGTTCGCGAATTTCACGCAAATTGGTATATGTTGGCACAAAACGTTCCGACCTCTAAACAAGAAACGCCACCGGCAGCACAACACCACTATGTAGCAACCCACGCCCCTCGGTCTCGTCTACGACACTCGACAACGTCGTGAACAGCAGGTAAATAACTCGGCTCTGTGACCCTTGAGCGTGAGGTAAGAGCCGCTCATTTTCTTGGTCTTTTATCAGGTGATGACTGCGACCGCGCTTGTTGCATGCACGGCGTATCTCACGACGCGTCCATGTCATCAGTATGAGCTGAAATGGTAGATAGTGCGACCGAGAGTGTTCCTCCACTTGAACACAAGCTTAGTAAAACGTGCATCGATTCTGAGCCCCGTCGTTTGCCGCTCTCTCTCTCTCTCTCTCTCTCTCTCTTCATGCTCTCAAAACAGTTCCTAATATTAATATCCGCGTCTTCCAAAAGTGATTTACTTGGTTGGTGCCACAAGACCCACGAAACTTTGAATTCACCCACGTGTAAGGGAACTGATGACTCCGCTTGAGCACGCCCAGCTCTTGCTACCGGACCCCTCCGAGGGCTGGACGACCCTAGGCGAAATGGCTTCTTCGACCTTGACCATAACCCTCCCGAAGATGTTGGACATCCAACCTCCTCCCCCCCCGCCCTGGTTTGAAGATGTGCTTCCGCCATCTTGTTCTCCCTCCCCTGGTGACGGCGCTGCTGGTGCCCTCACCCTAGAAAACATACCGCCGCAGTCGCAATGCAGTGAGCGGGGGAGTAAAAGGCATGCAACCTTTCCTCCCCCAATGTAAAAGTCTTGCTCACTTAGGTGCGGAGAAGGGGTGTCCTACACCTCGTGTTGAGAGCACTTTTGTGCGCAGGTAGGTATTTCTCTCCTATCCCACTCCCCACAGGAAATAAACAGGCGTGCAGAGTTCCTCTATACCCTCCACCCCCCATTTCATCATATTGCGGTATCCCCCGTTGCGGGGAGTGGGGAGCTGACTGAGCGGAGCGGACAGCCAGCAGCAGAGAGACAAACACACCAAATAGCGAGCTAGACGGCGACGAAGGGAGAGGAGCGCCGCTTTTTCTTGAACCGGGTCCGTAACCACAGCGTCGCGGTCGTTGCGCACCGCCCTCGACATGGCTGCCGCGTGGCGTGGGACGGTCTTTACCCTCCTCACAGCGGCTTGCGCATCAGGCTTCGTCCAGCCAGGATGCCCAGGAGCGCTCGCAGGTAGAGAGTGGGCCAGGGGCGGGGCCAAGAGCTGCGCAAGACCAGTGTGCTCGAGCGTGCTTCGCATGTCGGATCACACAGAGGACAGGTGCGTTGCGCGCGCCGGCCGCTGGTGTGCACGAAAAATATGAAAACTGCTGCTGTGCTGTCGAGGCGAGGAAAGTTGAACAAACGTATGCAAGCGACGCCCGTTCGGTGCGTGAGCGGTTGTCCAGCGACTTCCCAACACATGCGAGAGTAGGCTGCTGCAGCTCGAGTGCGCTGACTGCTGTTGGGTGCGTGTGCAATCGATCACTGCTGCAATGGCGGAGCAAAGGGCCCTGACGAGAGGAACGTTCAGTCGGCTCTTTTCAGGGTTGATGGCTGATGGTCAAGGAGCGACGCGTTCATGTGCACCAAGCTTGTCGCGGTTTTTCTCATGTTGCACATTCTCACCACCAAACAGCAGCATTGAGTCAGTCAGGCGACCTGATCTCAATAGGCAGCCACAGTAACCCTCCCCCGTACCCCTGACCACTCCGCTCTTCTATTGTGTGCATGCATGTGGCGTGTCTTGGGGATTATCATATACCCCGTTTGCAGGCGTCAAATGTATCACTAGACTACGTTTTTGCCTCTCTCGTGAACCTCATCGTGCACAACAGGCCAAGAACGCAGGTGTTTGAGAGCAGCGGCGGCGGGGATGGCGAAGAGGGTTCCGCAGCATCGAAGTGAGCAGCAGCAGCGACAGCAGGCATTTAGAAAGAGAGGAGCTCTTGGTGTTTGTCGTTGTCATGAGTGCACTTATTGCTTATCGCCAGCGCGCCGTGTTGGGCAACCTCTACCCGATGAAAGTCCTTGGTCCGCCGGCGTCCCTCCGGTAGCCGGTACACCTGATGTCGCTGTCACTGTCGGTGTGGTGCGCTTGGGCTCGCGTGCCGCGTTCGATCGAGGGCGCGTGTACAACGCTGTCGTGTGTAGCAAAAAAAACCATCAGTGCACGTCCTATTTTATTGAACACGTACGGATGTCGAGCCAACACCAGCAGTACTTCCGCGGTGTACAGATTTATCGCGTGCAGTGGTTGCCACATGGTCGCTCGACTGCCTCAGCACGAGAGCCCATGTAGGTATGACGACGAAGGCGGGCAATGAATTGACACAATAATACCCTCAACCCCCCCCATGCTCAGGTCGGCTGACGCCCCATATGTACTGACGAAACCGATGGACCTGGTACGAGTCCGGGGTTTCGGCAGCGGTTCGTCGGCGGGTTACTTCCCCGGGAGGGATGGCGGCGGGAGGGGGCGGGGGGGGAGGGGTGCGTATAACGACGGTTACGGCGGAGGCGGAAGCGGTGGTCGCGGCGGCTACGACAACTTCCAGGGGAGGGGTAGGGGCAGGGGAGGGAGGTTTGACTCGGGCGGCGACGCGTTCGGCAGGTAACAGCAGCAGTGGCAGAGGGGGGGTAGAGGGAACACCGCGGTTGGTGCGTAGGTGTACGAACACTTTCAACATACCGATGGTGGAAGATATGCAGATGCGAGACTTGCGTGTGTCTGTTCGAATGGCTGGTGTGCGAAACAAGCGTCAGGCCTTTCTCTCACTCGGACAAAAAAGCAAGCTCACGCCTCACCACTGATAATCAAAACCATTCCCACCACTTTTTGTGTTTTGCCCAACGCTGCAGGGGAAGAGGTGGCGGCGGCGGCAGGTTTGGTATGGACGGCCGCGGCCGCGGGGGGCGTTTTGACGGCGGCGGCGGCGGCGGCCGCTTCGACGGCGGGGGGCGCGGCGGGGGGCGTTTCGACACTGGAGGTCGTTTCGATGGCGGGGGACGGGGCGGGCGCTTCGATGGGGGGGGCAGGGGCGGGCGCTTTGACGGAGGCGGCAGGGGTGGGGGGATGATGGGAGGACGGGGGGAGAGCAGCTATGGCAGCGGGCGGGGGCGTGGCGGAGGGCTTGACGATGTTGGCGGCGGGGGGAACGGGGGCGGCCTCGACTATGCTCCCCCCACTGAGAAACGGTGAGGATCAGAGGACAGGGTCGATTTAGGCGGGTAGGCAGATTGTTCGTGAAATACTGTATAATAAAGGGATGTACAGGCGCAAGGAGAAAGAGAGGGAGAGATACTGTAACCGTGATCGGGAGGGGAAAATGTGGAACTTGCACGGGGGTTGCACTGGAGGGGGGGGGGTTCCCAATCTTGGCGCTATTGTGTGTTTGAGCTTGACCGCTGCTGTTTACCAATCGCCTCTTTATGATACAGCAGGTTATTGTGATTGACACTCCTACGCTTGACATACACCGGTGGTATTTCCGGCCTGTTTTGTTACCGTTCTGTCCGGAAACGGGAGGGAGGGAAAGGGGGCGGATTTGTCGGTATGTCGCTGGTGTGTTTTGGAATTGGTGGAACTCGCGCTGGTGCTGGAGCAAACGGGGTATGCCTCGCGCGAAGTAGGACACGTCGCCTCTATGGAAATTATCGGTACTACGGCCGGGTCGGGTGCGATTTGATGGCCTTGCCCCTAATGGTATCGAGCAGGCTGCTGAAAGGGTGCCTAGCTGAAGAAATGCGCCCGTGCACCGTTCACAATAGTTTTTCCACGCGAACAAGCGTGCGTTTGGTGTTAGTAGGAGTTCGTGTCGTGCGCTTCGGCTCGGCCCGGGTCGTTTTTCATGAGAGTGTTGGTGTGGACATTGTTGTCGTTGTTGTTGTTAGTTAGCTTTGTCTTCAATATCGTTGTCATTTCCGGGTGTGGCGTGAGGGTGCCGAAAGCTCATCTTCGCACTCTTGTTTTATCCCTCCTGCGCGCATGTCGATAACGTGTTTATGTGCGACTCATGATTTCCTCCTTGCCTTGCACCCGTCGACCTGTTGTTCGTGGGGTGAATGTGCTATTTTGAATGGCGGCGACGTTATGCTTCCATGTATACTCCATCGTTATCGCGTCGAAGTCCTTCGTGTGTGTGTTGCTCCAGGCTTGTTTGATTTAATCTTGAAACGGACGAACATGCTACTGCTGCTGTTCGTTCTCGTGGTCATGTTTATTTTAGCGTCGCCCCCAGTCGCTGCCTGTGCCCTGTGATCATAACTCCCTTTCTGGAGGGCTTCGATAAGGGGGCACGCAGATGGAATGCTGCAGCGATTCATGCTTGCCTTTCACTTACAGTTTCGCATTTTGTCTTGTATAACGTAGACAGCACACCGGGTATACATGCATGGACGTCTCTCGTTTTTGTCGCTCTCGAAAAGGCCGATGAGATGAAAGCTGGCCGCACTTTGTGCGCCGTGTTCTATTCGTGTGTCATTTGCTTTTATCCCTGAGTTGTTTGGATAGTTGTGGTTGGCCATTTGGTACGTTCGAAGCGGATCTTTGCGTAGGAAAAGGTCAGCTCTTCGGTCGCCTAATAAGAAAGTTGGAGAATTGTGGGCCTCCGATGCTACATGGGTTGCTTGTTGATGTGTTGTTGTTGCCGCCACCAACCACTTGTATCTGTTGTCTGTTTGCGTCGCAAAGGACGACTTTCAAGGAGGACAAGAAGAAGGTCAAGGGCTACGAGAGCAAGAACGTGCCGGACAAGGCGTCTCAGGTCAGAGAGTGCCGCCTATCACCAAGTCGTTTATAGTCAAAAACTTCGTTCATGGTTGCTTTTTCTCGTGAAACCGTGGAACCGTGGAACCGTGGAACCGTGGAACCTTGATGATTGGGCTGTTAGGGGTGATGATGTTGTTGGGCATCATTCCCGCATACTCCGCACGTTGGTCCACTCGGGGTCATGTTATTTGCATGCTCCATCCCCCACCCACCCCTTTTTTTGCGTTCTGGACTGGCATGTCATGTCTTCACTCCGTTTCATGTTCTGATATTTTTTCAGTCGGTTCTGAGGGGGCGCAAGGATAGGCTACAGGCGGAGTCCTTGGACGAAGAGCTGTACGATGATGACGGTGCTGATCTCAGCACTGACGATGATCTGTTCGGGTAAGCTGACCGCTATCAGTACTTTTGCGTACTTTGTGTGCTGCCGTCAGTTGTGGTAGTTAGTGTCTATAATAGTGTTGCTACGTTAGTATTGTTGCTGGAGTTCTGTAAGTGGACGTGACTTGGATGATGGAGAAAAGAAAAGAGCTTCCTTTTGTGGTGCCGGTGGCTGCGATCGCTCTTTTCCTGATACGGTGCTTGAGACCTCCCGTTCGTTGTTTCCGTGCCCCCCCCCCCCACTCCTTGCATTTGTTGTTGTCGCTGCCTGCTCTGTACTCGCCGCCTTCGTCACAACACCGGCACCACCGCCGCCAGTGCGGCCACCGCTGCCGCCACGGCGATGCTGGGCGAGGCCGCCGAGAAGGTAGCAGAGCCTAGCACCAAGCCCAAGGCAGTCGCCTCGACCCCTGTGGAGCGGATCCAGCCCACGGGGGGCCGCCAGGCGCAAGCCCAGGCGCTCAAGGCGGCCGGAAGGCCGATCCCCGGGCGGGGTCGCGGGCGAGGGCGTGGGCGGCCTAGGAGGCGGCGAACAAAGTCCAATCAGGTTTACGTGAGTGCCGTTCTGTCGTTGTCGGCGTTGATACGTCGGCGTTTCTCTCGGGCATTCAGTCCCTTGCCAAGCTTGGTCGTGCACCTTTTGGTAGTGATGCTTAGTCCGACTCAAGCATCTCCCAGGTGCCCGGCGAAAACAACATGCCCTGACGTCTCTCAACCAAACCCGACCCATCATACCCCAACGACACGAACATCTGCCCAACCAACAATCGGTGCTGTGCTGTTGGTGGCATTTTGCCGGGGTTGGGTGTTGTTTTTTAGAGGTTTTCGTGCGTGATCGCATTGAGCTCATGTTCAGATTTAGGATGATGAGGGAATGTAAAAACTGAAGTATAATACAATCCATGCCCAGTTTTTACTATAATAGAGCGGATAGATTTTCGACCGAGTCCTTCCCTTCTACTAATAGGCAGTCGGTTGAACGGGCGCCCTACAAAGTGTTGGAACGGCATTCCTTGCAGTTCTTGGCGTGGGCGGCGATGTCTTCGCTCAATCGCAGCGTCCACATGGGCAGCGAGAGATGAGCATCCCCCTGACCGTGTCTCTTCCTGTCCTCTTGACTTGCGGTGTTGCCGGCGTGACCTGTCCAAATGGAATGTGAACTCGTGGGTGCACACGCATCTCATCCCTGTGTGTGTGCTGCGAATTCCAGGCCCCTGCACCAGCGCCTGCGGTCGTGAGGCTCCCGGGGCCTACCATCGTCGTGAGCGAGTTGGCGGAGATGATGGAAGTTAGGCCGGCGGAGGTGCTGAAGCACCTCATGCTCGACCTCGGGATCATGGCGACGATCACGCAGTCCATCGATGCGGACACGGCTCGCCAGGTTGCCAACAACTTCGAAGTGGAGGTGCGAGTAATGGTACAAGTCTTTCGTTTATGTGACATAGCCATTTTGGATGAAGCACGCGATCGGGGAAGTTGGGTTAAGGTTAGGGTTGGGGATAGGGTCTGCGTACCCTCTCTCTGTTCTATTTCCTGGTAAACTTGATTTCTCGCGAAGGCGGTCCGAGAGATACGGGAGGAGGGAGGGGGGGGAGGCGCGATGGCGGGGCGGGGAGGGGAGCAAGAGGCACATGCAGACGTACAGAGAGATTTACACGGAGATCTTCACGTAGAGGTTTCCACCGAGAGAGGCACGTGGACGAACACGGAGGAAGGGTAGGGTCGAATTATCCTTCTTGGTGCACGTCTGGCTCAGCGACACGCTTTGTACACACAAAGTAGACACGTGCACTTTTCTTCTGTTGCTACCGTTTCTGTCTTTAATCCGGAGAATAGCTTAGCCTCCCCCATGCCGCCCCCTCACGGGGTCCCAGTTAATGGCATTAGAAGTGTTTTGTGTTTTCAACCGCACTCAAACTGACGTCTTTTCATTGGTGAGCAGGTTGGCGCGGTCGATGCTAATAATAGATGCACACACGCACACACACAATTTCGAAGCATTTTGTGGTTTCAACCGCACTGAGACTGACGTCTTTGCATTGGTCAGCCTATTAGCGCAGTCGATGCTAACAATAAAAATACACACACACAAGCACACATGAGCACAACAAAGTTGGTCCATGGCATATGAAGTGCCCCGTGGCAACGACGTTTCGCCCTTGCCTTGTTTGATGACCAATTCAAAGGTGGATGACGGTTCTAGCTCGTTCGATGAGGAAGAGGTGGTGTCGGTGGGCGACACGGGAACCGCCATCGAGATAGATGCGGAGGACACCATGCTGCCCAGGGCGCCGGTGGTGACCATCATGGGGCACGTCGACCACGGCAAGACGAGGTACGCATACATACACACCGCGTATCTTGCTAACCGAGGGTCATTTAAGGAGGATAGTCGATCTCTAGCGCCGCAAAGCATCGTTTAAGGAAGATAGTGTATTGGTTCTACTGTCGTTGCGAATCTTGGTCTAAGAGCTCACTCGATTCGTGTGTCGTTTGGGTAGGACTTGGGGGGAAGGGTGAGCTGAGGCCACACGCGAAGCACGTGTCTTTGTTGCGATGGGTCTGCCTGGATAGTACACGTGTGGCCGAGCACAGTTTCCCATATCGCACTAGAGTGATCGCCAGGTGTTTCATCCGAAGGGAACGATCCTTTGAACGGTCCGTGGAACAGTACGTCGCCCGCAGGAATCAACCACGCATTTGAGACGAGGAAGAGTTTCCCGCCAGAGCCGAGACCCGATGTGGAGTAGCAGTAGTAGTACCGCTACTATAATAGCAGCAGCACTATAATAGCGTGCACGCAGCCTTTAACATTTGTCATGGTAACTGTCAGCATTTTTGCACGACACCCGGCACCGAGGGTAGTCAAGGAACGTGGTCAGCGACACCACAGCGCTGGGATTGTTTCCGTTGCCCAGCTCCGTGTGATGACGGCCTTTTTTTTTTTTCTTCGTTTTGTTTTCTTGCTTGCCTTACGCTTTTCCTCGCACCAGTCTGCTGGACGCGATCCGCGAGACCAAGGTTGTCGCGGGCGAAGCGGGTGGCATCACGCAGCACGTCAGCGCATACCAGGTGCAATTTGCATTTTTTTCTTGTCTTTCGGTCAGCTTAGACAGGAAGTGTAGTCTAGGCGTATTCTTGAGTCGTGTTGTGTGCTCTGGGCTGATGATGCTTGATTTTAGACACCGCACCCTACACGAGGCACTTGGGCACGCAGACCAGAATACCTCCCTCCAAAGTTGTTCCCTACCCCCATGCTATTGGTGCCAGTATTTCCCTCCCACACCAAGTAGTACTTGCGGACTTTTTCCCCACGGACCTACCCTGTATCCCTTCCCTTGTGACCTTGCTTCACCCCCTCCTCCCCTCCCGTTCTGCGTACTAGAGATTGATGCCTATCTCATTTTGGAGAGGAGCTTGTATGTTTGTCGTATTCCACTTGGTGCTGTCACGACGTTTCTCCTTAGTCGCCTCCCTCCTACACAGGCAACCCTCTGATGTCATTAGTAGGCAAATAGGAGCCGTAACTATTTAAAGTAGTACTTCATCTCGAAAGGGATGCGTCGTTAAAGACCAATAGACACACGGTCGAACACCGAATGACCCCCCCGTCAGTCTTTTTAGCCAACTTTGGCGAAGTAGGAAGTAACGATTGCCCATCGGCGATTAGTCCTGCTGGCACAATGCTCCGTCTTCTCGAGGATCCGTGGCCAACGGTCTAACCCCTGAGGCATGCAAAACATGAGTACGCCCCCCCCCCCCCCCCCCCCCCCCCTTTTTTTTTTTCGCGGAAAAA